ATGTCTTCTACCAGCAGGATGCCTGAGACGCTTTTCCCAGAAAGCCTCTGACCACAGGCCCAAACTACCTCATCTGGCTCCTCTTGACATGGAGGAGCAGCAGTCCCTCCCAGATGTTCGAGCTCCTCACCATATCCGCCTGATCCCACCCAGCAGAAGAAATGCTTCATTTTAGCAATTTTTGCTTTCAGTTATTTCTTGGAGCTCGTGACTGTAGGTGAAGAGTTGGAACGTAGACCAATTTATAAATGGAGCTTCACTTTCTGTCTCCACGTACTCTTCACCTTAGCAGATCAGTTCAGATGCTGCCTCAATCAACTCGGTGGTTTCCCTGCTTCTTCCTTCCTTCACTTCAGAACAAGACCTCAACTCTTCCACTTAAGGTGGGACCCCCCCCCCCCCCCAATCCCGAGGTTGGTGATTCAAAGTGAACATACTTCACCCCACAGCTACTCAAAATAATTCTGTCAAAGTTATGAATGGAACCATTAACAAAGGGAAGCCCTGTCTAATTTTATCTGGAAATTGGTCCAACATGCTGGCCAAACTGGCTGGATTCCTGCTGCATGGTTAGTCCCATCTCCAGTGGACCTTGACAAAGGTCCATTTACCTCAAATGCTCCGAGCATCTTTAATTATCACAATAAGTTGCCGTGCAAGCAGCATTTTGCCTAAATATGCCTAAAATCTTTGTGGTGGATTTTAGAGAAACTTAATTTTGGCTAGATTTGGTTTCAGTATCAGACTAATCCTTGTATTCGTATCATTCTGTGGAAAATATTTAAATCACATATTTGCATTAAACTGGACTGGAAATAGCTATAGTTACCCTTTTTAAATATGAAAATTAAATTTCCATGTTTTTTTTAGTCAAACCTATAAGGGTGTGTTGTATGACCTGAGAGACGGTGTCCCAAAACGGTCTTATGAAAGGTTTCATTGTTTTTAAATCCCCCATAGGAAGGATTTGTTATGATTTACAGGCTCGGATAATTGGACTGAGCTCAGTGACCTGTTAACGTCTCGGTAAAGAGGCAAAATGACTCATGGATCATCAGATTTCACTGATACTCTCCGTACCTGTACTCTGAGGCTGTGTGACACAATAGGTAACTAACCCTCCACCCGTACCTCAATATGGGGGGGTTATTGAAAACCAAGAATAAAGATGTGATTGAACTGGGACATGTCACGTAAGCAGGCTCTTATAACTCCATGCATGGTTTCTGACAGCTGAACAAGAGTTGTTTAGTTGGTAAATTCATGCAAATGTGTTTCCCTTCTGGCACCCATTTGACTTTGAGCATTCCTGTTTATTAGGAAATAATGATCCCAATGAAACGTGTTAAAATACCAGCATGGTCTTGCTTGTTTGACAGTAGAAATGATTCATAGTGGGCACTTTGACCAGAGCGGCTGCATGTTAAACATAACATGTCTCTGCTGGATGAGTCACTAGTCATCACAAAGAAAGATTTTCCCAAAACCAGGCTTTCTTGTGAGCTTCCCGGTGTAATCGCCCCTAAATCGGTTCTACAAACATGGCTAGCCTGAAACCACTCCCAGTCACCATGGTAACGCATGATGGCGGCTGGTCTCACTGATGCTTTGTGAATAGGGCTGCACGATATTAGGAAAACCTGTGGTATTCGATAATGATATTGCGATGACAATATTACTTGCGATAAATAAAAACTCGGGAACAAATCAAATAAAGAAACAAAAAAAAAAAATTAAAGCTGCAAGCAGCGTCGTTCGGCCCTCGCAGCTCCGCGCCGCTCCAGCCTGGCCGGCAGCCTGGTGCACCCGGTCATGTCCGTGGAACACAAATGTCGACCACCCCAACACCAGAAACCGCGAACGGTCTCCTCATCTGCACCTCACCCTGACTCGGCATCTCCACTGAGCCCACCAATAAATTACACATCTAACCACTAGGGGATACTCTGTCTTTACCACACTGGTAGTGTGATGACACAGACCAAGTTTAATGCTATTCTGACCATGTTTTTTGAAGTCATTGAAGGTTAAAGTTATCTAGGGGGCGCTGTGACCAACTACAGAAAAATCTCATTGAGGTCAGCTTTGGTTTGCAAAGATGGCTTTCTGTTAATTTGGCATCAGACATTGCGTGTGTTATCTAGAGCCAGAGAGCCAAAAGAGGGTGAAGCTAAAGGTGTTTGAACCAACAGCCATGTCAGTGTGTTTAGTGCAGTCATGTGATGCCACAAGCCAAGTATAAAGCCATTCTGACCTTGTCTTTAGAAGTTAATAAAGTTTGAACCAATCTAGGGGCGCTGTGACCATTTACAACTAAATCCCATAGAGGTCATCTTTTGTCATCAAAGATGGTTTTCTATTAATTTGGCATCTAACGTTGCATGGGTCATCTAGAGGCAAATGGCTGTAAGTGGGCAGAGTTAACGTGATTTGAACGAGTGAGCACATGTGTTTGCAGTTGCGCGATGACTCCCACCATGTCTGATATAGTTTGGAGCTTTTATGTAAAAGTTACAAAGGATTTATTGTATCTAGGGGGCGCTGTCCTAAATGTAGGAAAATATCCCATGGAGCAGTTTGTAGGTTCACAACAATCATTTGTGTGTAGTTTGGTGTGAATGGCATTATGCATGTGTTCAGGGCCTAAAAGGATTTAAAAACACTAGGAAATTGGTTGGATAAACAAGGAATCCCAACTACAGATGGACTTGAGAAGAAAAGGTGAAAACTGCAACGGTGTCCTGCCTACAATAAAGCTCCCTGAGACCATTCCTGCAAGGAGGTGCACAGTTTAGCTTCAGAACATCAGTGCATACAGAATGGTACCAAACTTACTTTCGGGGGAACTCCTCCCAACCGTCAAGAAAAATTATGATGGAACAACATAAAATAATTTATAAAGTCGGAACAAAACCTTCAAATTTAAGGTCCAAATCCAAGAAACTTCCCTGATCTAGAGATGGACTGATTGTTTTTTCTATTGCAGATACCAGTATGGTCATGGTCAGCCCACGGCCGATAAGCGCTGCCTATTTATTTGGGCAGAGTGGCTGACCTCGTGGCATTTCCACCTTACTTTTAAACTAAAAGGTCACTAAAACATCAGTTGATGCACAACATTTCTGAAGCTGAATCACTTTTTGAACACTAAATTTAACCAACTGTTAAATGTTAATTTTATGCACTTCTCAGTGTTAAAATCAGACATCCAACTGATGGTAATCAAGCAAATCAGTAAACTAAAAGTACTAAATACTCAAAACTAATATATAATAAAATTTCAGTAAAAAAAGCATTTTCTACACAGATGTTGTTCCACGAATGTAATATACATTTAAATTAAATGCTGCAGCAGCATTGGGCTGCCTGGGTATGTGCCTGTCTTTAAATCTGCTTCATTAATAAGGTATATCGGCTGATGCCAATGTATATCGTGTACCCTTGATCTTAATCCTATTGAGATCTTGTCAGTCCTCAAGAAGCAGATGGTCAAACTTCCAAATTCTGATAAATTTTAATCACTAATTATGATGAACAGGTGGCCATCAGTCAGGATTTGTGTCAGAGTGAACTGGAGAGGTCCAGAGAAAGAACCAATGATGTTACAAATATACTATTTAATCTAAAAAATGAAATGCCATTCCACTATATTCCTTTTTTGGTAGTTTATATTCATCCTCAATGCACACAGACTCCTATAGTCAAATATTAATTTGAACGTGATTTGTGGTAGGGAACAAATGTTAACGTGTAAAAGGTTAAACCCAACATGAACGTGGTCAATGACAGCCTTGGGTCTGTTTCAACCCAGCCATCTAGTTTCCTCCCGTGGTTGTGGTCTCAAAGTCAGGGTGAGCAGGCTGATCCTGAGTCAGCACTGAGGGGCTTTCATATCCCAGACCTGGCTCAGTGACACGTAGTCGGCACTGGATTAGCATTAACAAATCAAAATGGGATTGACAGGTTGCGCCTCCCCCCGATTCAAGCCTTTAAGATGGGCTTTACTCATCCTGTCCCACCTCTGAGGACAGACTGTTCCAACAAGGACACAAAGGTCAGAGCCGGAGATGGTTTAATCCTCTCTGAAAGGGCAGGAGTATCTTAAAAAAAAACTTTTATAAGCAGGCTTGTACAGGTTTGGAGTCGGAGAGCTAAGTGGCTTTAGAAAGTTTCATTAAATGCTTTATTTACTACTTTTCTTTCACTTCAGCCAGGCTCTGTCTGTGCTGAACAGGAGGAGGTGGACTAATGAAACGCTCCTCTGAGAGAGTAATTAAGCCCAGACACAAAAGGCTCAGCAGGATGGAGTCTGATGGAGGAGGAGCTGGTTTTCTCCAGAGACCAGTTTGGCCCAGCTGAACCCCTCCGAACTCCAGTGAAGGGGAAGGGTCACCGGTTTTCCTGGCCAACGCCCACTTCACACTGCAGGCATGAGGATATTATCTATCCATCCCTTTTGCTTATTTGATCAAATTAGAACCCTGAACAGAAGTCGCTGCTTTCACAATAAACAAACAAACTGGTTTATTCCAGCTTCCAGACAAATGAATTGCCTCATTAAGAAATCAGAATGACATCATTGCCTGCACATTCTCCTTTAAACTTGTTACATAATGTTTTTGCTCTGATGCGCGGGAACTCACATGCACCGCCTGAGTGCTGCAGGCGACATGTGTGCGCCACGTGCGGTGTGTTTTGGTGTCGTAGTGAGGGATGCACTGAGCTGTCTGGAATAGCCCTGATCCTCTTAAATGATTATTGGCTACACCAGAGAATGAGACTTCTTGTGTGGGACACACACACACACACACACACACACACACACACACACACACACACACACACACACACACACACACACACACACACACACACACACACACACACACACACACACACACACACACACACACACACACACACACACACACACACACACACACACACACACACACACACACACACACACACACACACACACACACACACACACACGTCTTTCCATCATAGTGAGGAGCCTCCATTGGCTTCCATTCATTTTTGTGACTCTACTATGCCTAACCCATACTCTAACCATAACCAATGCTGATCTATTTGTAACCCTAACCTTAACTAAAACTTAATTCACAGTAAATCTCTAACTGGCATAGTAAGCTTCTAAAATTAAATAAAAATAATAAAAAGTGAGGACCAAAAAAATCCTCACATTGTAGGGAAAATGGTCTAATGGTCCTCAGTATGTACAAGAACACACATGCCCACCCCACTAACCCAACTTAAGGAGGGGTACTATGTTTGGTTGTGAGTTGAGGTTTGATTGTTCTCTAATGAACTCTTGTCTGTTATGCTGCTCAAAGGCGATGTATTCAGCATCTTTTTCTACAGGAAGGCAGATGTGTGTGGAGGATTTCATAAAGGGTGTACCTTTTTGTTCAGGCACCTGGAGTTTGGTGCTAGCCTCTCCAAACAAAACCTGGATGATGAGAAGAGGCCATTTGGTCTGAATTGTTTACATACATAATAGGAAACTGGCTTCTCAAGCCAAAGTGGGCGAGTTTCTGTTATCTGATTTTGGACATGCAAAGTTTTGACACGTTGTTTTGTATTCATGTCTTAATCGTTGACATAAATAAAGATTGAAGTGTTTCTACCTTGTTCTGTTGTTCAGGGATGTGCCACTTGCTTCTACTCACCATACCCACAGTCACAGTGTTTACTTTAAACAAGTAATGACACAAAACTTATAAGAATAGTTAATATGACACACAGCAGCATAACAAGAACTTCAGTTAACAAGGGACAGTGTCTTGGACAAAGTGATTGAGGAATTTTCTAGTTTTGAAAACGTCCCTTAATTCAAATGGAGGCAAAACTTCCACAGCAGGACTATTAAATTCCGGGCCTCGAGGACTGGTATCAAACATGATTTAGTAGTTTCTCTGGTCCAACACACTAGATTCAGTGGTTGAATCACCTGTGCAGCAGCTCATCAGGCTCTGCAGAAGCCGCTTAATCACCTGCTGATTGAAATCAGGTGTGTTAAAGCAGGGTTAAAACCAAAACGTGCTGCATACCGGCCCTCAAGGCCCGGAATTGAACAACCCTGTTCTACAGAAACCAACTGCTTGGGGCTGCGTATACAAGCTGACTCCATAAGTTTAGAGGAAAAATGTCAGTTTCTCATCGTTGACCACCAGTTGTGGTAGAACATGTTTAATACATGTTAGAGGATGCTTTATTACATGTAAAATACAACTGGTGCATTGCACAGTTCATGGAAATGTGTCCATTTTTTCTTTCAGGCTTTAACCTCAAGGGTCCGATGGACCAGTGTGCTGAAGAATCCATCTTTATTTAGTCTTGTTATCTGAAGTGAAACTGATAATCCCACTGGTTGTGGGCTGATTCCTGATTCCTTATCAGTCCAGACTTCTCCTAGCCCCATTACCTATCTGGTTTGACCTAGTTCACCTGTAGAAGGATTGATGATGTTGTGGGAAGAACATTTAAAGGGAGTTCAAAGGGTGAACAGATCTCTATGTAGGGCAGCTTTGTGGGATGTTTTCCTCCAGATGACCGGTGGAAAATGTGCGTGGTAGTGATCCATGTCGCCTTCTTTCCAGCATTTCTCCAGAATGAAACAACTTTTTGTCTTCGTCTCTTGTTTGGCTTCAGTTCTGACCATCCTCTGCTCTTGACATTTGAGAGTGTGTGTTGTGTGTGTGGTCTCCGTAGGGAGTCGACTCCAGATGCACACAACTGGAGTCCAGAGGCACAGATTCTCCTTTTTGTCCCATGTTGTTGAGTTTGACCCTTTCTGCACGCTGAAAGAAAGCGGGTTCTTTATAGAAAAGGTCGTTCTTTCATTGTTTATGATTATTCCACTTTACATTCATTGACTGTTTTCCAAAAGGCTTCAGACAAATCATCTGGAGTCAATTATGTTTGTTGTAAGGACATGCAGCAGTCGTTTTTTAAAACCGTTCAAGTTTTCCTAAGTCTTCACAATAATATCTGCCTAATATGCTCCAAAAGAGCTTGTTTTATTTTTTACATAAGAGGCCTAGCAGATACTTTGTTTGGGAAATGAGACATTTTGAAGTCTGACTTCAGATGATGGTGAACATTTACGAGTTGGTACGTTTGGTCAGAAATGGGACACTCTTGAGGTTGGGCACAGCTTCACCTGGAATCAGAAAGTGTTGGAATCTAGATCTTATAAATATTAAATGACCTATAAAACAAAAGTTCTAATGCTGGCAACATCTCAAGGTTGCATTTTTTTACTTCTGATAGCTGGCCAGATTGTTGACCAGCTTGGATCCCTGCTGGGGAGAGCAGACTGCAAACATTTTAGTTTAAAACTCGAGCCAAAAGGAAGTGGACCTCAACACGCTCTGCAGAATCCGGTCAGCTGTGATCCTTGTGTGTCCGGCTGCCTCCATCACGGGTTTAACTGACTGCGTTAAGTTCGGTTTCCTTCCTCAGTCATTGCTCTATTGGCTGTAATAAAAGCTGACGGAGTTCAATCATTAAAGACACTCCAGCCATTTTATCAGGTGATTTCTCAAACAGCAGTAGAAGAGCAGTTTACAGGAAGTACATTCCTCACTCAAATGTAGTTTCCTTTTTTCAGCTCATGATGGGGATAACTCGCAGCATAGGACAGTAGTTCAAGACCAAGTTCAACAAGAACCCCCCCTTTTTTTTTTTTACTTTGAAATACAGTCGGTCACTCAGAGTTTCAAATGAAGGCTGAACGTGAAAATAGTTTAAAACCGGTTTCTCACAGTAGCTTCTGATAAAAAAAAATAGACATACTTGGATTAGAAAAGCCATAAAGATCTACATAACACTGAAAATTAGCATTCATGGACTCACCCATCTTGACTCAAAAAAACAGGGAAGGCTGTTTTTAGCATCCAGGAGAGGGCAGAGCATGTCTCGGCTAGTAGAAGCTAACCGTTCGCATTGGCGACACCACATCGCAGCAGAACTCCTTCAGGCTTCTGTGTTTTTGTGGAGATAAAACATTAATGTTTATGAGCAGTGAGCGGTAGTCATGTTGCCGTTAGCCAATCAGAGGAGAGGTGTCTGAATAAGCCCATTTTATGCTCACCTCTACCCTAGCTCACTTCTGGTTCCTGAAACAGATGCGCCAGCTCTTTATCACCTCACTTTTTGACGGACAAGGATATAATTTATCCTAGGGCCCACTGAGGACATATTTTTAAAGAGTGAACTTGGTCTTTAAATTTCGATTTATTGTATTATCACTTTAATAACAAAGTCCCATAGGTGTCTGTTCACCCTCCTTCCTTCAGGCAGTAGGCTGAGCAACAGCATTTTCCCTGAGGTTATTTGCTATAGTCTTATTTTTAGCTGCTGTTGTCTTTAATCTGTAAAATAAAGGACTCTGAACTGAGAGAAAGTCCATGGATGTTGGAAGCCAATTTGCCTTGTTTGTGTTAAACAGAGCAAAGCTGGTTTAAACAGCTGTGACAACACCTGAGTCATGTCACGTTTACCTCCCTCTGTCCTCAAATTTACTCTTTCTGGAACAAGTGTGTGAGTGTTGTTAGTGGAGTTTGGTTTCACACCTCCAGCAGAGCATGTGGAGGTGCAGCCCTGCAGACAGGACTGAGTTCTGGTTTGGGGCTGTGCTTCGGACTGTTGATGGTAAATCACTTCGCGTGTGTGTGTGTGTGTGTTTTAAGAAAACAATAGCTGCTTTGTGGAAGGGTCCCACTGATGGGATTGTTGGGGGGCTGAGGGACGGTCAGAGCCTAGTGAAGCGTAGCCACTTCATTAGTCAGTTCTCCTTTTGTACCTCCTCCTCTCATACGTCCTCCCTCCTCCATCAGTCTTGCTCTACTCTTTCCTCTTCGCTCACTCGTGGAGCCACACAAGCAGGAGTCAGTCTGCCTGGTTGTTTCCGAACTCTGCTCAGTGTTTTTAGCTTCGTGAGGATGGACTTTAGGGGCTGACCTGATCGTTGGTTAGTTCTGTCCTGAGGTGAGTCGTCGTGTTTCATCACCCTCTGTCCTCCCCCTCCTCCCCTTGGCCGCTGGGCTGCTGTTCTGGTGTGGAATAACTGATGCTGCCCTCTCCAGACTTGATCACATGCTCTTACACTCTGTTCAGTAGAAATATTTCTGTAATCAAGATGAAACAGAAGTTGTTTTTAGCCGATTTTGGCTTAGATTTCAGTGTAAGCCGGTGTTAAAAGAGGTGATTTACTACATGTCAGACTATTGCCTCAGCTGTGTTAACACGCCTTTGATTGCCTCCCCCTCCCTCCCACTGCTCTTTGTCAACCCCCCCGGGGACAGTTGAGGGTCGGGGTATTCCTGGTCCTCGTGTGGGAAACCAGGGGAGCGACGTCCTGGTTTCGTTTAGAAACTTTGCTGAAATCCCCTCAGAGCTGTTTAGAGGTTTTTCTGTTTTAATAATCACGTTAAAACCAAAGTGCCTTGTTCCGGATGCAGTGGTGTGTTCTTAAAACTCCTGACCAATCTGCTGATTCCAGACAGACCCTTTCCATTTAATCAGGAGAAAAACAGCAGGGGGCTCTTCTGATTTGATGGTTTATCAACAAAACTCTTATTTTCTTAAATCTTTCCAACTATAGTCTCAACATTTGTTCCTCACCAGTCGGGATGTCTTTAATTTAACAGATGGCGAAACAGAAGTGGAATTGTTTTTGTTAAATCGTTCTCACTCGAAGAAAGCACGTTTTCACAGGTGCTTCAAGTTCACTCTGTTTTTTGAAACTGAAGATATAACTGAAAGACTAGCAGGTGCATGCAGAGGGAATGCAAGTTTTATCAGAACTCCGTGTATTATTCTGTCAGATAAACCGGAACAAGACTAAACTTGGATCGGCAGGTCACAGCTGAACAAACGCTGTCTATGCACATCTGAGATGAAGGAATGCAACAATCATTTTGAGGCTGGTTGCTTTTATTGTGTGTTTTAATCCATCAGTGTAATGTGCTAAAATCAAAAGCAGTTTTATTTAAAGCAGCGACGTAACAACTTAAATCCTTTTTATCCTTAAAGGAATCCAGAACAAATGGCATCTCTTCCAGCTCTGGCTCCATATCTGTGAAAGGTTTGGTTGCATCATGTTTGCTGGCTGGGAGTTTAAAAAGATGATGATTACACATCTGTTTAGGTTTTCAAAGCATCTGCTGCTGAATTTTGTTTTCTCATGGCTCCGTCTTTAAAGACTCCTCAGAAGCTGCATTCCTATTAGGTTTAAAAGAAAGTGGCAGGAATGAACCACCATGGACGTCCCTCTGAACTCACTGGCTGTTGTGAAATTTCTCTGTTTATGTTTTCTAGTGTGATTAGTGACACGGAGCTTTGCTTGTTCCTCTCAGAATGAAGAAGTGAGTCTCCAGAGAACAGGGTCATGGCTGTTCAGGCTGGCATCCAGGTGAGTCCACCCCACCCTACGGAGGGTTGTTTTAACTAGTTAATAACCTGACGGGAACTGGTTAGAGGATTAGGCTCCAGTGGGGTGAGGATCCGTTTGTGTTGGCCCTCCCCTCCGGTTCTTCAAACAAAGTGAGGCACAGCAGACATCTTTCTCCTGCTCAACAACTGCAGAGCCCACCTGTGCTCCCATGGTGGTGGTCTGCATGTCTGACGTTCCACCACTCCCACTCTGATGAGTTCGTCTCAGCATTTTTTTGGGAGGAGTGGGCGAAATGCCTTTGGCGTTGTTTCCTCTCCCCTCCCAACAACTATGTCTTAAACATCCCAAAACTCAAAACAACACACGTGTCGAGTTACAGATTAGTCACACCAGAGACGGGCTGCTCTCCCAACTGGGTTGACGTCGCAGCTTTTTCCGCCTCGTCTTGGACCGTGGGAGATGGTGAGGAGAGTCTCTGATGACCCTTGAAATGGGCTTAAATCCCACAAATCCTCACTTTGGAGTGTTTGAGACAAACAGCTGTAATTTTACCGGTTGGTATCCCTAAAAGCAAATGCCGTGGCATAATCCTACACGGAGGAGAGGGATTATTTTTAACTCTGCGTTATTGATCTTTAGAATGGAGTGATGCTGCAGCCGTTTCCAGCTCTGAGCTCAGATATCTGATCAGGCCGAAGATGGATGAGCTCATCTGCAGTTGATGCAATTCATTTATTTATGCCTCAAATCTGAGATGATTCGGGAGGTAAAATTCCTTCAAGCATGGGTCAGACAGATGCACATTTTTACACACAATCCTTCTCAAACCAAGCGATGGTCTGCATTTCATTATCTGAATTTTAAAAGGTAATTGCGAGTACAAGTACAGGTCAGAATTTGCTTTGTGGTTTGACCAAAATATCTAAAATTAATCCCAATTTTCTTTTTCTAATTCTGATTTATTCCCCCCCGAGAATCAAAACTGATGGAATGACTGTTTAACTTTCCACGATGGAACTTCAGCAGAGAGAAACCCCAGCCCTTAGGAGCCGTAATTCTCACATGTGAAAGGAGCAGCATGAGCTTGTTAGTTCAGCTCGGCTAAGTTAAACAGCTCCGGGTTACTTATGATCCTAAAGGCTTAAAGGTCAGGAAGCAGGCCATGGGAAGTTAAAGAAACCCAGACGCCTAAAGTAACTGCACTTCTTTCAGTCTGATGGCTAAGATGAGGGGGGATGGCTCCATTATTGGGATTAAAAATCTCCCAGAATGTCCCCACAGGTCTGTTTATACTGATAAATACTAAACATGCTGTGAATAAAACAAGACTACTGCTCTTACTTGATGGCGTTTATCCATCCTGGCTGGAGCTAAGAGCATCAGTGTGGCTAAGTGGTGATTGGCTGTTTAAAAAGTGGAAAAGCTCCAGAATCTCAGTATTTAGCATTCTGTGCTGGATTACAGACCTGATGGAGGGGGAGATTAACAGATTGCAACATTTGTCTGCTTTAAAAACTCCGTCTGTTCTTTAAAATCAGTGTAACTTGTAAAAGCCCCCCCCCCCACCCCAACCCCACCCTGGTTGCTGTGACATGACCCACGTTATTCATGTTCCCGACAAAGGTCGCCTTGCGTTCCATTTGGTTACGGTTGTAAACATCTGTGTTCAGACGGGTTCTGAGGTGGGACGGCGCTCTCACCTGCCTACTGAAGAGTTCTTACGTTTCAACCCTTGTCTAAATCAGACATGGTTTTAGGGAAAGTATCCCAATGAGCCGACTGTTAATTTAGATCTTTTCTGTTTGAAAATCGGCAGCTTGTTATCTCCCAAAGCTGAAAGGAAGGAAATCACGTTCATGTATATTTTTTCTTCTGCAAAACATCTCATGAACCCCTGGATAGTGTCTTCTAAAAGTAAAAATGCATCAAATCACAATATTTCCTAGAACAGGTCACATGACTCATTCGTCCACAGCTCTTGAATCTAAACTTTAATAAATGGTGTTCAGCATCTTGCTGGGCTTTATTAAACGTCTGAGTTACTTCGGTCTTTGGTGTCAAGTAGCAGATGGATTCATGTTAAAGTTTCTGCAGAAGAATTCAGCAGGGCAGCTTGTCTGCGTCTGCCCAGAAGGTTTCCTGTTTGCTGGCCCAGCCAACGCCATGAATTCGGCTCCTTGTTTCCTTCCACCACAGAGGACTCGCTGTCCTTTTTCTGCTGCGTGACATGTGATCCTCTCAAAGATTAAAGTATGTCAAACAGATGTCAATAAACTGGAAATAGGGAGAGGAAATGCTTGTTTAGGAGTGAGTTATGTAACATCTGGAGAGGTTATCTACTGTCGATGTAGAACTTTTGGTGTGAGCTCTAGAAGCTTTAAATTCAGGTCAGTCTCAGTTTTTGGATCCTCCTCGATGTGATCGATTTTAGAGTCTCGTGGGGCGAAAAGGCTGGGGGGGGGGGGCACAGCAGAGATGGATGTGATTGGACATCAGTGCAGAGGAGAGAAGAGCTGCTTGCTCCAGGCGCCAAACCCAAGACTCACATTTCTCTAATATCAGGTTGTTTCACACAGATTCTCAAAAGAAACATCAATAATGCTTCTGACTTTCTTTGTTTTAAAGTCAAAATGGAGAAGATGTTGATGAACTTGATGTTGTGTGGTTTTGGAGCAGGGAGGGAAGCCAGTTACTGGGTCATGTTGGCTTTTCTGTGATCTCCAGTGGAGCGTACGAGTGAAGCGTGGTGTTAAGGCTCCCCTGATGTGATTCCCGTGTTTTTATTGCTCAAACAAATTCTCAACTACAATGTTCAGTAGGAACCAGACAGACTTACTGAAGATCATAGATGGATGTTGAGTCTGTTTACATGCTCTAGGCAGACAAACACTAGCTGGTTGCTCAATGCTGGTAGGCTCATACTAAGGAAACGTGACTCTTTTAGTCTTAAATGAATTAAATACGAGAAGTCCCAAGCTTCTAAACTAGTGGGATTTTCATGATGAGCTAGTTGATGAAGGCTTCCTGAGGGTTTGGTTTTTGTTGTTCTGGTACACGAAGGGTAAACTCGAAGCTGCATCATAAATGTTGGAGAGTTGACACTTCAGACCTCGTCCCCCTGTAAAGGTCTAAACGCTGAATAAATGACAAGACTGATGGTTTGTCTGAGATTCAGACCAATAAGAGGTGTTCAGGCTGGAGGAGAAACCTAAAAAACACAAACTCACAACGCAACACCGGAGGAGCAGCCTGCAGGTGAAGACTCTGGTTCACCTACACTTAAAAGAAGAGGGACCCTTCAATGGTTTAAGAGAAGCAGGTGTGAGGTTATGACACAGCTTATTGTGCAGCTATCTGGGGTTCGGTGTTGCTACCATGAAGTTATCACTACATCTGGTACTCGTCAGTCTTCTGTTTTTATTACTAAAGTCCCTTGGATAAGAACTGAAGCATCTTGGAGTTTTTATCATTTCATGATAATTAGCAACAGCAGCTTACTTTAGCCAGGAAGCCGTTTGGCTTGTTTTTATGTTGTAAAACACCAAAACATTTCTCTCACTTATCTCAGGTTTGGTTCGGTGAGAAGTTCGACGTCCCCCTGCCGAGCCCCCAGAGCCCCCGCAGCCCGCTAGCTCAGCGACACGGCCCTGGCCTCACCAACGTCTTTGAGTACGACCAGTGGCTCGCGGTGCGCCACGAGGCCACGCTGGTGCCCATGCAGGAGGACCTGGCCATCTGGCTCAGCACCATGCTGGGTGAGTTTCTGTTATGTTCCAACTTGTTTTTCTACAACCTCCTTTTAAGTGTGTGTGTGTGTTATTTTTACCACAAACCTAAACCAGATAGACAATACATCTAATACATCAGTTTTCCCCCTTCAGGCGAGGAAAACACAATCAGGCTATTGACACAGCGCTAACGTGTAACTGGAGTGTCGATGCTGCCGTTTCCAACCACCACAGATGGTATAATAGCAGAAAGGGTAAAACGAGGGGTTTTGTTCCACTCCCAGCTCTTATTGTCCCTCTCCAGACAATGGAGCCATAAGGAAACCCAACCTGACTAGAAACCGACCCCATTGTTTGCTGCTCCATCTTGTTTTGGGTGTTTCTGTGGAGGAATGAGGGCAGGTATACAAACCGCTCCACGTGACCTACTGCTCTTGTGGTCACATGCATCTCGGGGTGGGTGGGTGGGGGGGTCGGGGGGGGGGGTGTATCTGCAGGGATGTTGTTGGATGGAAATTAACTTTTGTGGGGAGATCTTTGTCATTTAGCATGACAGTATTGTGGACTTAGTTTCAAGTGATTTAGGTTTGTTGGCAGTCTGGATGAACCCCCTCAGCTCTTGATTTACAGTGGAGGGGTCGTGGAAGTGCTGCAGGGCCCCCGAGAAGCAAATAGTTTGCCATTGTTTCACAGCAACCTACAGATTAACACAAGCATGTCCGTCTGGGGTTTAGAATCAGTAAAGATGCTTAAAACATTTATTTTTCCAGGAGTGGAAGTGAAAGCTGAGTTTTTTATGGAGGAGCTGAACAACGGCGTGAAGCTGTGCCAGCTTATCGGCGCTCTGCAGACCAGGATCGCCCAGAGCTGCCCCTCAGCACTCGGCAAGGTGAGTCAGACACGAGGATGGGAATAACTTCAGCCACTAAGCAAAGGCAGATCTCACACTTCCTCACTCAGGGAGGATGTTTACTAATCTCTCATTTGCTGGATAATTGGTGATTTTTAGATACGTGATTATTTTCTATCGGTAATCTATACATGGCTTCCCCTCCCACAGCTTTTTCCCAACAGAAGGATTGCCTGCAAGCGGGACGCCTCTCCTGGTTCCTTCTTTGCTCGTGACAACACCGCCAACTTCTTGTCTTGGTGTCGGCACATCGGGGTGGAGGAGACCTACCTGTTTGAGTCGGAGGGCCTTGGTAAATGCCTGAAACGAGTCCCACAGTCAAAAGCTGACATGATCTGTTTGTTGTTGGCCGAATCCTACAAACCTCCATGTCCTCGTATAGTTAATGAATAAAACCTGCTGTTTGTGACAAAAGTTCAACTACGAGCTATTCAAGCATGCAAGGAGAAGTTTAAAATAATTTAAATGTGACTGAATCTGTTAAGCCAGGTGAAGTTTGAGGTAAACGATTAAATAGAAAACCTGTGTTTCTGTGAAAAATGTTTACTTTTTTATCATGAATTGTTTAGATCAACAAACCTATTAAAAAACCAGTCAGAAAACTTGAGTAAAAACAAAATATAGTTTTTAGATTAACTTATTAAGAGGACAAAGCTACACAAACTAACCATGACCATGTGGAGAACGTCCCGTCACAACTAGTTAAATCGGTAATTAACAGAGTTCAGTTCCACCAGCTGCACCCAGGCCTGCAGAGTTCAGATATAACTTCATTACAACCTGTGTGACACCATGATGGAGGCCGTAAGATCTCAAAAGCTGCATCTCCATTATAAAGAAACTCGAGAACAAACAGAACACCTAAAGCCCTACAGGCATCACTTGGTTAAGGTTAAAGGTCAACCAGGCCAAAATGTCTGCTGACCTTGAATAACACAACACATCTCATATTTACCAAAAAATATCTTCTACCAGATTTCTGTGAAATCATCTGTCAGGAGTCTTAACTCTGCATTCCAGAAAAACAGGCACGGGGGTGGTAGTATGATGGTCTGGTGTGGATTTGCTGCTTCAGGACCTGAACGCTTTGCTGGTGTTTAGATATCCTCCAGTGTGGAATAAATGAAACCGTTCTGTAGAGCACAGGTGTTAAACCCAGGCCCTCTGACCAAGTTTGGCCTGCGATCAAATTTAATTTGGTCCGCGAGATCAAATATAAAATGCATATTAAAACTGGCCTGCCAGCTGATTTAGCCAGACTACAAATCCCATAGTGCTTTGCAGCGTTGGCACGTCTGTAGAGGCGCCACCTCCTTTCTCTTTACATTCATTAGCATCTACGCTACCACTAGGCATCTGCAGCATTACCTCCTCAGTCTCAGACAAACTGAAAACACTCCTTCCTCGGGTTTACTCAGTAATTTGCTGACTTTGAAGCCCAGAAACGGATTTTAACAGCTCAGTAATCTGTTTGCTGCTGACATAGAAAGCGCAAAAACCAGCTTCCAGACCGAGATGATTTGACTCCAGTTTAGCGACACACTCAAGTCAGTATGACTCTGTAGCTGCTGTAGTTTTTATCTTTCCTCCCCAACACACCGACCAACAGCTGCTCAGATTCTCTCCATGTTCAGCAGCACAAACCTGTGTGAGCAACTGTCCTCTTTTGATGAAGATGAACAGAACAACACAGGAGTCTCACTCATAAACTACTCCCTCAGCCCAGAGCCTAGCCACAGGGGTGCAGGTGTCTGGTTTGAACAGGTGAGCATCACAGTAAATCAGAGTGGAGAATACTGAGTTAGAATTGTTTCGGTTTTATGAACCTTTTCTGCTCCAAAGTAAGAAAAATAATAGGTGAGATATTACATTTTCATTTAAGGTGATTACTTTTATTTATTCATTATTTTTTTGTTTTTGGCCTGTGAAAAAATACTTGATGTACTTTAAAACAGGAACTGGAAAGACTACAGATGAATAGAATAGAAAATCTCTTTATTGTCCCTCAGTGTGGAAAGTTTGGTGTCACAGCTGCAATAACTTGCATCACAGGAGCAAAAACGGAGGAAAACATAAGAATAAAGGGTAAACGACAAGAAAACAGAAATATTTAAAAGAATGACTATATTAAAAATGAAAGAATGCTGTGTATATACACAATTTAAGGAATAGAAATAAAAAAATTGAGACAAATAAATAATGCCACTTTTGTGTGCTTTTAAAATAGATTTGCTGGTATGTAATTTGGTTATTCCACGGTTTTCTACAGTACATATTTGTAGATAAAGAAAAATGATCACAGTTACAGTAACTATCAAAAAATGTTGAGTTTGGCGCGTGACTTTGTCCCAGTTCATTTCGACCCAGTGTAAATTAGTTGGACACCGCTGCTGTGAAGGGTAGGATGAGCTGCAGGAGGCTTGTTGCCCGTTACCTGTTGTTGGAGTAACTATTTTACAAGTTCCGGTTGGTTCTGATGGATTTACTCCCTTAAATGATACCAATATTTTCAATCTGACATCAGTCTGCAGTGGTGACTGGGTGTGAGGCACAGGTACCCATGATCATTATTTGACAGTTAATTATGTTCACTTCTTAAGCTACCATCTAAACCTAAAAGTGTAGCTCACTCAATTAGATGTTTACAGGACAAAGCAGACTGAATCTTTGCTGTAAGCTCCCAGTAAAACCAGTCTTAGGAACCAGTTAAGCTGTCCCTCCTAGTGGTTTAATAGGATCTGATGTGGGATCCCTTCATTACAATTAAAGACTTTAGGAAAACTGACTAAGGCGACTTAGATATAAACCCAAACACACATGGTTCCATCAGCCTTACGAGTATTGGTGAAGTCAAGATGGCCGCTGCAGCTAATCATCATTAGCGTTAAAATGGCTGCAACTCAGCCAGGTTGTTGAGCTAAAAGTTGGTGTGGTTTTTAGCCACATTTGTGAAAATTGTGACGTTGCATGAAACTAAAAGAATAACTCTGACATTTCAAAATGATCTTGGCTGAAAGTTGGCGAGTGATGTGCCGTCATTCCAGCTCTGACGGAGCTGGCTCTGATCGGGTAAATTCAAATTCAGACACTTTATTAATCCCAGAGGGAAATTAAGAGTTTCAGTACACACAATTCAGATCAGACATACATACATAGACACACGACAAGAATTGGTGACTTTGGTCATTCGCAACCCGAGTCGCACTACCTTAAATGAGATCAGAGTGTTTACATGAGGATTGGGTCAGGTTGAGGAAAAAATAAAAAAGGCACTTCAGAGTTGGTGTCCACAGGGAGGGCAGCTTTGCTATGCAAAAAAATAAACGTGCTTCAGGCTGATTATTGTCATTTCCTTTCCCAGTGCTGCACAAGGAGCCCCGACAGGTCTGCCTCTGTCTGCTGGAGATCGGCCGCATCGTCTCCAAGTGAGTCTCTGACCCTGAACGAGCTGAGGATAACCACCGAGGCCCGCAGTAATCTTCTGTTGACTCGTCTCAGGTACGATGTGGAGCCTCCCGTCTTGGTGAAGCTGGAGAAGGAGATCGAGCTGGAGGAGACGCTGTTGATGACAGAGGAGCCGCCTCCAGCTGTGAAGACCTTCAGCGTGTGCTGCCAGCACGGCGCCCTCTACCAGCCCGAGGTGAGCAAGTGGCTGGAAACAAACACAACATGAAGTTTTCTACCTGGAGGCGGAGAACGTGCTTTACGGTCACGGCTGAGAAGACGCGAACATGCTCGTGTGTCTCAAAACAGCTGATTGCGTTTGCAGCACATAGGTGGTCCATGTGCGACCCATTTGAAGCAGATCCAGGATGCAGTTGCCGCTTCAGTGGCCCTCCACAGGCGTTGTGACGCATGGAGGCTGACCATGTGACTCTCCGCCGGCACTCAGACTCACCATCACATGTTATGCTGCTGATGCATATGTGCACATGGAGCCAAACGTCCCTGCTGGGCTTCCTGTTTGATGGGTTTATTTATTTAGTCTGGTTCAGTGGATTGGATCGTGCACCAACACTGTGGACTTGATTCTGCTAAAAAATAACCTCCTCCCCTCCCTCCGAGTTTTTATTGTGTCATCAGCTGATCCCAGAATGTTGTTTTTTTATCTATTGCAGCCCAGATGTTGGTGCAGATGTTTAACCGTGCATCGGTTCTGTTGCAGGAACACAACCTAGACGATCCACCTTGCAGCTGCTCCAACAGAGTCTCCATAGAGTATCTGTCTGAGGGACGCTACAGACTCGGAGACAAAACCATCTTCATCCGTGTGAGTACCCATGAACTTTGACCCCGGAGGCGTGCAGATCACTGCTGGGCCTCGTTAAGCTCGTTACTCAACAGCAGCGAGTCGTGATTACATCATTACACTCGACTCGCTGCAGACGAGTTAATCTGCTGTTATTTTAAGAGCTGAAACAAATGATGTCATCGTTGATGTTTCCTTTAACTGACCCATGGACTGGCGCTGATCCGGTTTTGCTCGTTCCCCTCAGATGCTTCATGGTAAACACGTGATGGTTCGGGTCGGCGGCGGCTGGGACACGCTGCGTGGCTTCCTCACCAAGTACGACCCGCTCCGGGTGCTGCAGTTCACTACTCTAGAGCAGAAGATCCTGGCCTTCCAGAAGGGTCCGCCGGGCCTGGGTGGTCACCATGGCAACACTGCACAACCTGCTCCCCCTGACATGGACCCCCTTGCCGCTGTAGACGACCTCGTCTCTTCCGCTTCCTCCTCCAGCTCCACTTCCTCCTGCTCTTCAGTCTGTAAGCAGACATCTTGTCGCTCCTACACCCCCTCCCCTGCCTGTACGCCAACCCTTCAGAGGAAAGGTTTGGCTTCAGCACCTAAGAAGAACCTCCAGATGACCCCATCCTACCCCAAGAAGCCCACCCAGCTCCCCCTGCCCATTGGAGGCAAAGGCTCCTCCTCTCTTCCCACCACACCTGTAGGGAGCCCCAGCAGACTGCCCCCCAGCAGATTTCTGACTCCATCCACAGCATCTCCAGTGGATACAAGCTCCTCTTCCAAACTGAAGCTCCGCCCACGCGCTGCTGTTTCCCAGCCCAGAAGCCCCGTCTGTCCTGAACCATCCTCCAAATGCCCCAAGCCCTCCAACCCTAACACCTCCCCCAACGGTGCCTCTGTCCCATCCCTACCACCCTCTAAAGATGCCCGACCTCCATCGGGCGCCACTCAGCGCTCTCGCCTTGCTCAGCGTCGCCCCGGCTCTCCAGCCTCGCGCCTCCGCCTAGAGACAGCCCGGCGGGCAAGAACTGCCACCAGGGCAGCAGGGACGGCCTCAAAGTCCCGGACCCCCACCCCCAACCCCAGCTTACAGACACCCCCGCCAGCCCAAACCAAGTCCCCCTGCTCTACCTCAAAGACTAAAGACTTAACAGTCAAAAGCAAGGTACCGGTACCAAACAGGGCTGCTGTTGCCGTCAGGCTGGCCCCCAAGGGCAACACTGACCTCCCCACCCAGACCAGCACCACCTCCTCTAGCAAAACCAATAAGACAGCAGCAGCTGCAGCACAGAGGGTGGGGCCAAAGCAAGCCACCACAGTTCTTCACAAAACCACCAAGTCAGCATCACAATCTGAGAGGACTCTGAGTCGAGCTGTGGCCCCGCCGAGTAAACCCACCGAGACCAGAACCACGAGGGTCCCACAGAGCAGAAACAGAACCGAGGACCCTTATTTTGAAATGAACAGCAGGAGGAAGCAGAAGACGTAACGAGACTGTTTCCGACAAAATCAGGAACTCTTTAAATCTCACTAATCTTCATCACTCGTCTGTAACTTTGGCGGTTTTTTATTTAATTCTTAATTTTTTTTGTTTTTTTATGAAAATATTTTTGTGGTGATTCTGTGACCTCTGCAGAGGTCATCTTGATAAACAACACTAACTTTGCACAATGTTAATGATTTCAGACGCGTCTTTTAGAAACATCATGTTCAGAACTAACCTCCGCCTTTAAAGCTCTGGACATTAACAGATTTTATTACACAAGTAGCAGCTTCTGCTTCGTTTTCTCAAACACGGTACCAAAGATTCAAACGGAAACATGAATCATGTTTGTGTTTGGATTTGCAGTGAGTGATGATCAAGAAAAGATAAAACATAAAATTATGATTTTTTTTTAACATAAAACGGTTACAAATCTCTTTGTGGGAGGTGAGGCGTCCTCCCAGTCACGTGCCTTCAGCGCTTCTAGAATGTCTTCATCCACCCAGGGTTCAGCTGAGTGAAGAAGCTCTGTGGAAACTACTGATCACACACCACTTTTAACGGATAAAACACATTTTAGAGCAGAATCTCAGCTTGTTGTATTTCTAACTTGTGTCTGGAAACTAGTTTTTCTACGTGTTTTATGTGTGTTCATATAAAGATGTTTGCTTTCTTTGCACTTTACAGAATTTTAATTTGAATGTTTTTGTCATTCTGATCAATAAATGGACAAATGATTTTAAACGATTGATTCTGTTCTAAGATTTGTTGATACTCAATAAAAAAGTGTTAATTTTAGTTCAAACTTTTAAAGTGTAAAGATGGGGTATTTTCTAAGTGAAAATTTTCAGTTGCACTCTTCTGCCCCCTCGTGGTGACAATATTGCTCTCAAAACAAATGCTACAATAGGACAAAGGGTTTATTAATATTTAAGTTAAATGATGTAGACATGCCGGATAAATCACTAACCCACAGATTCAGTTCAGCTGGGTTGAGCTCATTTAAACCCAACTGAATTGATTCACACAGCTGTCACTAAACACACCTAGCTGCTGACACTCCATGGAAACAAACCACTCGCCCTTTTGTGGTGAAGAAACCTTACAATCAAATCACGTCTCGATGCTTTATTTTGAAAATAAGTTTATGCTGATGGATATTAAACAGGGATTAAATTATATATTTACAGTAAACCGTTTATTGCAAACTACACGTTTATTATACATAAGATCCACTAACGTATCTGCACGCCCGCGTTTAGGTTGACATTCATGTTCCAGGGTGTGTAAAGTGGCATCATGGGAGAGGTCAAGGACCAAAACCTCTGTTGGCACAAAGATCTGTCTCACTTTTACCAAAAACCAAATGACTCCGGACTGGTGGTAGTGTGATGGCTGGGGCTGCTCTGCTGCTTCAGGACCTGAACCACTTCCTGTGACCAACAGAACCATGACTTCTGCTCTCGATCATAAACTCATGACCTCTGACCTTAAATGGGCTACTCATGACAAAATTCTGTCAGTTCTTTTTCAGTTAGAGATCTACACACCACTTTACAACACATCTGTATTTTATTAAATAAAACATCAAATTTCTCATGTCTTCATTTTTTAAAAATTTCTTATTCTAAGTCACAAGACCGGAAGGATCCGCTTTGGCTGAATAAAACACCAGCAGACATTAAAATCTTTCCTCGTCTCTCTTCAGTAGTCTGAAACCCTGAGAAACATCAACAGATCATCAGTAACGGAACAGTGTGCAAAGTACAAAAAGGACTGTGGGAGTTTAGTCCCTAAAAACAACAGTAGCAGGTTTAAAGGACGAGGATCTGATGAGGAAAGCTTAAAGACTCTCATCATCACAGACATCACCGTGGAAACGCTGAGTCAAGGCAAAACCATTAAAAAATCTATTCAGAGGCTTTAAAACGCTGTTAGAATCTAAATGTGATAAAACAAGGCAGTGGTTTGTGATTTCAGTGCAAACAGAACCATGACTGAACCCTGACCAGGACTGACATCGTTTAGACGGTGAGATCAAACATGGCCAGCTGTTCACCTGTTAACTGTCCTTTATGTGTTTAATACAAGTGGTTATGTGTCGGGTTTCACGCCACGCCACTAAGTCGGTTTACAGGAGCAGCGGTGTGTGTTCTCCTGCTGGCTCCCTCCTCCTGGTGAACTGCCTCACTTGTTCCAGGAGACGGCTGGACAGCGAGGGGACGTGGTGGCTCGGGTCCAGGACGTTGGTCTTGCGGCGCTCACGCTCCTGCTGCCACATGAGGTACGGGCTGGGCGGGAAGAACGGCCGGGATCGCTCACGGTAGAGCTGAAGGACGATACCGCAGACGCCCAGCACCGCCCACACGGCGATCATGATGTAGTCTGCCTCGAGGACGAGAGCGGGTTAGAACCGAGTCAGAAACACAGCTGGTGTCTGAGGTTGTGTCAGAACTCACCGATGGTTTGAAACGGCACATCGGTGAACATGGCGCTGAAGCTGTTGTTGAGGAAACGCTTCAGGATGTTCAGCGTGATGTAGGACAGGCTCGTGTAGATGTAGGCGTTGACGGCCAGGACCACGGCGTACGCTCCCACGATACCGCAGGTGGTGATGTTCCCCTGAAGAATAATTAGACAGGTAAAGATTATTTTCTTCTCCTGTTTGTTGTTCCTTAAAACGAGTTAAGAGGTAAGCAGCATGGAGCGTCAAAACAAAGCCACAAATCTGTTTAAAATAATTAATACACACTTAAATGTCCTGACTGATGTATTTTCATTCAGAGTTATCAGGACTTTAGATGATTAAACAGGCTCATATTTTCAGCCATAAATGTAAAAAGAAAGACTGAAAGAAGAAAAGCAGACAGTCACTCCACTCTGCTGCCCTCTTGTGGTGGTGATGAAACACAGAAATGCCATCTGTGAATTAAAGTCCTTTTGGCATGTTTTATTGAATGAATGAATGTTAGATGATAAATGATCCGCACTTGTATTGCGCCTCTTAGAGTAAGGACTCCAAAGCGTTTTACACTACAGTGTATCATTCATCCATTCACACACACATTCACACACTGATGGTGATGAGCTACGATGTAGCCACAGCTGCCCTGGGGCGCACTGACAGAGGCGAGGCTGCCGAGCCCTGGCGCCACCACCACCAGCAGGCAAGGTGGGTTAAGTGTCTTGCCCAAGGACACAGCAGCAGAATTCTCTGTCCGGAGCCGGGATCGAACCTGCAACCTTCCAATTAATGGACAACCCGCTCATCCTGTTGAGCTACTGCTGCCTCATATTGTGAAAATACTGCCGATGGGTAGTAAACAGAAACATAGCTCCCATGATAAATGTGATGCAGCAGGATTACTGAGCTCTCCTGTGTAATTAATAAAAACCATGTTTAGTTTACTGTATTAATATCAACTGTTGGTATAAATCGGTTACCTCTCTGGGCCACCGCACGAAGAAAAGAGGAACGACGAGCATGATGCAGCAGAACGTGACCCAGAAAACCACATCAGAGTTCCTGAACACATCCAGGTCTCCTGAAGACAGAACAGTCACACAGAAATGAGACGAGCTGCTGTTCGGCTGCTCCACCATCATTAACCTCATCTTCTTTACCCAGCGGGGTGAAGAGGACGATGGAGGCGACCAGGAAGCCGAGCATCAGGCCGATCACGACCACACACGCCATGACTGAACCAAAACGCCACCAGCTCATCACCAGGAGGACTCCGCCCATCACGCCCACGACTGCTGAGACGGTCAGACGGACTGCGGAGACACATGGGACATCTTGAGGACACTCAGACAACATAGAGGTCTCACACTGAGGTGGCCGGCGTGTGGACTTACTGTCGTAGTCCAGCTGTGTGGTCCTGGTGATGAGGACGAAGAAGAAGAAGGATACGAAGCTGAAGCCCATGCAGAACAGCTCTGTAAGATAAAACATGACTCATTTATCACAAACATAAATATTAAGACTCAATAACATACAGAAAATCATAGATTTACTTGTTTACATCTACATATGGTCCAGGGTTCTGCCCACATTCTCCACTCTGAGCTCCGGAACGGCGCTGTTGCAGCTCTACGTGTGAAACTACTCACCAGATTTGAAGAATCGGTGTCCAAAGAAGCAGACCAACAGACCGGCCAAGCCAGTGATGGTGAAGAAGATCTTTGTAGATATTCTTCCTGAAATGTGGTTAGATCTGGTTTAAACAGGATAAGACGGTTGTGTTTGTAACCCTAAGCCTAAAACCGTAGCGCTGACCTAGAGTCTGGCAGGCGTCCAGAGTGGACGTGAAGCTGCAAGCGTAGGTGTGGACAGGGACGTAGGAGGCGGAGGTGTTCAACACGGGGTCTCTGACGATGACGGAGTAGATGACACCCTGGCCTGGGATGGAGTTGAACACCATCATGGTCTTATCTGTGGACTTCAGCGTCGCCACCTGATGGAGAACAGCGAGACAGAGCGTCAGCAGGCTGTAGGAACAACAATGGCTACTGATGCTGATAATTGTACCCGTCTGCCGCTCGCCATCAGGCCTCGGACATCAGCCACCGCCTGGAAGCTGCTGAATAGGCTGCGCTCTGATAGGTCGTTCTCTGGCAGGAAGTGCTGATAGATGTCGTACTGCAGGCGCCAGCGGGTGTCACTCCCAGTGGACTCGTCGCAGGCTGGAGGAGTCTGGCCTCTGAAACAAACAGATTTCTGATCATCACAAAAGAATAAACTCCTTCATGCTTATTCTGTTATGAGTGGTGAGAGGAGCCACTTCCTAACGTATCTACCAGCGCTAACTGGTGCAGCGTGCCACCACAAACGGGAAATGGTGACACGCTGCTGTCAGCTATGAGCAGTTTACAAGCAAATGAAAGTTCAGATAAAACAACTCAACTCATTTTATTTACAAGCAAAAGAAGAAAGAAAAGAAAAAACTTTCTTTGAACAGAAAGAAACCTCCAGCAGAACCGAGCTGAGAATGGACCGACTCGGGTCTGAGAGGACAGTCTAACCCCGGTTTCACACTGAAAGAATGGCACTGCTTCAAATAGAATCCATTATAGTCTATGGAGTAGGGGCTGCACGACGTAATTTTTTTTAAAGCTGACTGTCAAGTAATGAAAATCGAGTCGACTTTGACTAGTCGTTGATGATGTCATACACCTGAAGCGGCGGGGGGGGGGTCGCTGGAGTTTTTGACAATTAAAATTTCGCCCACATTTTCAAAGATAAACACATCTCTTTTAACAGCGGTAGTTTCTGCATCTATACTGCTCCGCTTCAGCTCTCTCCCCCCTCCCCATGTGCAGTGCGCCTGCAGCCTCTCAGACTTCCTGCTGCTCTAAACATTAAAATAATTATTTCATTTTCTGTTCCTCACTTCTGATTACCTTCAGTGGTGTCTCTGTTTGTTGCAACCACCAGGTACAAAAACTAACTTGTTTTTATTTGACTCTTTTTCTGTCCTGTCTGTTTATTATCTTCCTGCATCTCCTCTCAATCCTAAAGAAAAACTGCTACCTGGGTTCATATATATTCACCTTATGAGTTACCTTTGAACTGCGGTTCTAAAAAATCTACCGACCGCAAAAACAGCGGAGTGCGCGCTGCTCGCCGACTGCATCAGTGAGGTGAAGTTATTGGAGGACAAAACAGGTGATGCGCCCCGCTCCACAGCAGCGAAATGCATCAGGCACAAATAAAAGAATAAAAGACAGAAAACATCAAAGGAAATGAGCCGACATGAACGATCGCGTGTTAAATTTGTTTTTGAGGTGGCGACACCTGATTTGATTGTTACTGTGGCCGTGCTGAGGATGCAGATGTCTGGAGCGCGTCAACAATCAGAGCTTTGCATGTGCACGCTGGTTAAGGTTAGGATGGGGGTGAGGGAAAGGTTAAATTGCAAGAGGGTAAATGTCACAATTTGGTTAAATGTCCGTTTTACGGCGGGCGTCGGTACCGAAGCTCTGGCACAGCGCGTTGCCTCCCGATGCACAGGAGCTGGTCACCTGCTATCTTTTCCGAGGACTGCATCTTGTCGCTCATTATCACGTGACAGTGACTAGTCGCTGAAAGGCATAAAAAGTCACTACAGAGCAGTGAAGTCGACTAGTCGACTAGTTCATACAACCCCTACTATGGAGTGTTTCAAACCAGCAGCGATGTGGCGATTTCCAGACGCGTCTCAGAAGCGTCACGCCGCGCCACTAAAGAAAGGATCGGGTTCTATTTTTGCCAAGAGCCGCTTCTGGGATGCGTCAATTTCCGCAGTTAACATGGGGCTAGACAGGAAATCACACACTGTTTCAGTGTAAAATCCCCAGTAATTTTCAAAATAAAAGTACTGCAGCAATGCAGTTTCATATTTATGAGACTTGCGTGTGACCCAACGGCTTATTTACTCACAGCATTGTTCCAGCGCAGCGGTGTGCTTTCCAGGGCTTTACTCCTGACAGTGGAGAGGAACAACATCATATATGACATCAAACAGCGATATCAAACGTGATTTCCTTCTTTTTGGTTTAATGGCGGATTGCATAAACAAACCGTGACCTGAAGATCGTGTGATCTCGCGAGTCAAGGGAAGAGCACAGCGAGGAAGCCGCGCCGCTGCCAAGACTCTCCCGGTGTGAAAAAGACCGCTTTGAAGTTCGTGAATAAACCGTTGCGCATCACTGATGCTTCCAGTGTGAAACGGGGGTTAGCCTTTAGCAGCATAACTAAAGAGGTGAGCCAGAATAACCCTAGACTAGGGCTGCAACAACGAATCGATAAATTCGATGAAAATCGATTACTAAAAGCGTTGGCAACGAATTGCGTCATCGATTCGTTGTGTCGCACAACTCTTCCAAAAGCCCCCCCCCCCCCCCCCCCACCCCCTTACCGCCCGCCGTTGCGCGCAGACCAGAGCAAGTCAGATCAGCGCGAGGGAGAGCCGCAGATCAGCGCGAGGGAGAGCCGGCAGATCAGCGCGAGGGAGAGCTGGTACCGGCAGATCAGCGCGAGGGAGAGCCTGCAGACTTGCGCTGCTGCGAACCGGTTCCACATGTTGCGCAGCGATCCAGGCAGCTGTCCATTCTCAAAGTGGCTCAACCAAAAAACTATAATTAGCACACGATCGTTCATGTCTGCACATGTTCTCTATTTTCTGTCTTATTTGTGCCTGAAGCGCGCTACTGCGGAGCTCATCACCTGTGCTGTGGTGATGTCACCTCACGCAGCATCGAAAACACGCTCTGCGCTTTGCGGTCAGGAGATCTCTTTGATCTGCTCAAAAGTAACTGATGAGGTGAAAAGGTAAGAATCCAGGCAACAGATTTTCTGGAGAATTAAGAGGAGATGCTGGAAGATGAGAGACAGACAGGACAGGAAAATAGTTAAATAAAAACAAGAAAACAAAGTAAAATGTAGGTAGATTTATCTCCACTACACGTTTTTACCAGTAAAAACAATAAGTTATACACATGTATAGGGCTGCTCAATTAATCGAATTTTAATCACGATTACGATCTGAGTTTTGAACGATTATAAAAAACATAACAAGCCGATTATTTGCTCCTCCCGCTTGCGCTGCCCTAAGTTGCAAATGAAGCGCTCCTCCACAGTGTTGCCAACTTAGTGACTTTGACGCTATTTCTTGAAGCTTTTCAGTCCCCCTTCTTGACTTTTTAAATCCTAAAAGTACCTAGCGAACACCTCAGAAACATCTCTGGTAACCCTTAGCTACTTTCTGGATAACTGTCGTTGACATTTCCTGCAGGTTAGCTAAACACTCCGCCTGCGCTCCGGACCGTTCTTCAGGACATTAGGAAAGGGAATGATGCAGTGATGTGTCAGTCGCTAAAGAAACAGCTCTCGGAGCCGGCTCCCTGTTGGAGTAACCAGAGTGAGTGACACACACACCGCACCTGCGGACTCCTGAGCCACTAAAAACAGCTAAATGTGCGCGTGCGGCGCGCTAAACACACATGCAGCTTGCCCGATTGCTGTGAGACCGGGGTGGGGGGGTGGGGGGTGCAGCTGTGGTCGGGACAATTATTACATTAACTGATGGGCCTGTAAATAAATAGTTTATAAATAAGGTAGAAATAAGTTCCTCACGCTGATAAATAATAACTAATCTCTCTGAGGACGCGGTGCTAGTGCACGCTCCTACAGCACCTTGACACGACTCAATAAATGTTATGTAACATTTTGTGAACATCAATTTATTTGCATTTATTTGTTATAAATGCCACTGTATAATTCTTGCTGTCAGTATTTGCCAGATATTGGTATTTGGGTCTGTACTGGTTAGACTTACATGAGTTAAACCAAGGTCTATAGCCCTTGGGTCATAGACTATGAGCTATAAGTATATTGGTCTTTTTATACTGGGGATCAGGAGTTATTTTAGTGATAATCTTGTTTCTTATTTTTGTCCTGATTGTGCCCTGAGCAGTTTTATGACTGAATAAAAACAAATAAAATCAACATAAATTGAAAAATCGTCCTAAATAATCGTGATCTCAATTTCAGTCACCATAATCGTGATTATTATTTTTGCCATAATCGAGCAGCCCTACACATGTAATATTTATACATCTGATACAATTCAGATCACCTTCAAAACTCAGTCACACACCCAGGGCCGTTTCAAGACATTTTGGGGGACATGCTGTCTCATCTGCTTCTTTTCTAAACTTGCAAAAAGTAACAAAACCATTTGAAAGCCGCTATTTGTGGATTCTCTGAAAGTTTCCATGGAGTGTGTGACAACTTATTTTTTCATTGATCCTATCGTCTAATCTCACAGCTGAAACAAGCATCCTTAATAATCTGTGCACAGGAAGCTTACCGATGCTGTAGTAAAACAAAAGGTATAATAATTTATTATTAATAAAACCTTGTTGCAGCACTAAAGCAGAAAAATTAGATTTTGCATTAAATATGCAAAATATTTACATATGAATTGTTTTAGAGCCCTTTAATTGGCAGAATCTGATATTAATTTAGTTCTTACAAAAAATGGGTCCCAACATGGTTTGTGTGGCGTTGCCATAGTGTGACGTCATAGGCACAGATCCCCTGTCCTCTTGTTTGGAAATGGAAATATGGTCACCCTACATTAAACAAACTGTCCACCCGGGCTTTTGCGCTGCACAGAGACGCTTCGCTGCCTACGACTGAACGTCAGTTGAGAGTCAGTCTCATGCAGACTGATCAATGAAGAGAGGGCCTCAAGTTAAGACCCTCTCCTCATTGGTCAGTCCACACGAGGTGGGTCAAAGGTTACTCTGGGCGGGTTACGTGTTGTCAGGCATTCAAGTATTGAGTATATTTACTACATATTACAGTAAAATATTCTGTATGTGACCACATTATGGTGATCCTCGGGTCGTGATGATGGAGCCCTTGAATATTGTTGCCCAGGGTACAACAAAGTGTTAATCTGGCCCTGGTTCCGCCGTCACATTCCCGCAGAAACTGGTTGATCACACCGGGGCCAGACTACTAGCATGTGGTTTTACAACCACAATGTCCTCAGAAGCAAAAACGCTTTTAAAAGGGAGGGAGGAGTCCTAACTGTTGCTGCAGGCGTGTTGTGTGAGAGTGCAGTTATATACTGGTTAATATATTTTTGGGTTCAGTTGCTTTCATGTGGCCTAACGTGAGTCTATTTGGGATCATTGGAATGATCAGCAGCATTTCTTGATGTGACTTTATGGCAGTTGCCCAAGGCATCATCGCAAGGAGGATGGCATTCATTTACTTTTGTTTTATTTGGTATTTTGTCAGTCATTTTTGGAAATAGTGATCAATTTTGATTAATTCACAGCCTATGTTTAATTACATTTAAAATAAATGTCAACAGATGAGATCAAACAAAACAGATGAGAATTGCCCTTAAGCTGTTTAACTTGGACCAAGCATTTTAGGTCACAGATAGATGTAGCTTAGGGTCTCTGTCTATACACCTTATAAGACAATTTAGGTGATGGCATGTTGTTTTTCTGCTATTGAACTGTTTTCTAATAATGTTGTGTTAAATAAAGTGAAGGAAGGAGAGAAATAACGTTTCCCTAGCAGTTTTTAAAAATGTCCCCATGTAATCCGATTAATCGATTAATCGTGTCGAGACCCCATCCGATTAATCGATTATCCAAATAATCGTTTGTTGCAGCCCTACCCTAGACTTAAATGTAGAAAGGGTGTCTGTCTCGCTTTCCTTTACACAGTCACCTACGCAGCGTCTCTCTTTATCTAAATACTAATGAACATCAAACACCAGCTCAGTGGCCTAGTGGTAGAGTGTCCGCCCTGAGACTGGGAGATCAGGGTTCAAATCCTGGTCGGGTCACACCAAAAGACTTTGAAAAAATGGGACCCAATGCCTCCCTGCTTGACACTCAGAATTAAGGGGTTGGATTGGGGGGGTTAAACCACCAAATGGTTCCCGAGCGCGACTGTGTCTGCAGCTCACCGCTCCCCCAGGGGATGGGAGTTAAGTGCTCGCCCTGTAATTGGAAAGTTGCAGGTTCAAGCCCCATTCAGTTTGTCGCTGTCATTGTGCCTTTGGGCAAGGCACTTAACCTGCTGGAGGTGGCCGGAGGGACCGGTGGAGGCAGTGATCGACAGCCTCGCCTCTGTCAGTGCCCCCCAGGGCAGCTGTGGCTACATCAGTGTGTGAATGTGTGTGTGAATGATTGTGTTGTAAAGCGCCTTGGGGGGTTCCAGGACTCTAGAAGGCGCTATATCAAACACGGGCCATTTACCAGAGAATGAAAAAGGCTTCTCAATGAGCTTAAGAGGTGGGTAATATTAGTAATATAATAAGTAAAACGTTTAAATCTCTGTGATGCAGCAAAATCTCCAGACTGAACAAAGCAAGCTCTGATGAAGGCGATGTTTCATCTACTTAAGAATGAAAATAAAATAATCCAGTCAGGCTAGTCTAACTGGACAAATCTGAACATGTGACCCAAAAACATGGCTGGTCCCCTGCTGCCATCCTGGGTGTGTTGATGTTTCCATCTAACCTGAGTTTGTCACGTCTGATGTCGAGACGACTGCAGTCGGAGTCAGAGTTACTGATAAGTTCATTTGTTACTTCCTATGCCTGCAGAGACATCTGACTCTTATAGAACAGAGTGTGTGTGAGTGTGAATAAACACACTCCTGGGTTCAGCCTGATGGAACCAGCTGTTACCTCTCAGATCCTAAATTAGCTGGAGCAAACCGGATGGTGGTCTCGTACAGGTTGTAGGCGATGTAGATGTTTGGGTCCACGTCAAGATTGAACTCCAGGTTACAGGCTCCAGGGACCGGGTCTAAAAAACACAAATCGGTCAAACTTCAGTTTCCTCCACTTAAAATCCAACATGTCTCTTGGGCCTAGTCCACACGTAGCCGGGTTTTAAAAAAAATGAATATCCGCCCCTCCAAAAACTTGCATCCATACCACCGCGTTTTTTTAAAAAAAAACTGTCCACACGTACCCAGATAAATACGTTGTTAAGGACATGCCAGACCTGTAGGCGGCAGTACTTCCCCCGTTCTTAACCTCGTCCTTCATCTGTGGTCTTCCGCAAGGAGCAGTAACTCCACTTGCAAAAACAAACAAGCAAAAAGCGCTTGAACAATTGATAAAGCGAGCGCAGCTCTGAGGGCATCCATGCTGTCGGCTAGTGTAAACACAGGTCGCACACGTGATGTCAGCATTTGTTTGTCGCGGAAAGTGACGTTGCGGACCTTAAAACTCCGGTTTTGTCTGTCCACACGCAGACACCCAAAACGGAGAAAACACAGATCTTCACTTTGGCCGGAGTTTTTAAAAAGATCCGTTTTCGTGTGAAAAAACTCCGTTTTCGTGTGGATGACAGGCCAAAACGTAGAAAAATATCTACGTTTTGGCAGATCCCCGGCTACGTGTGGACAGGGCCTTGGTCTGTGGTGAAACTATTCTTGCTCGTCGTGCTATGGCTCAACTTCCTGCTTTCACACTTCTCAGGCGAGCTGGAGGAGAAGCATGTTGTCGTTTGTGCGACATTACCTCTGCTTCCATAGCTGAGGGTGACGCCGACACCGACCACGGCGTCGCCGTTAGGAGACGACAGGAAGAGGGACAGGGACGTCTGCCCCGGTTCTAGAGTGGACAAGAGCCCAGCATCAGCTGCTGTCAGGGAGAGACCCATGGTTGGAATCTGAGGGAAACACAGAAACAGTTATTATGTCGCGTTTGCATCAAATCGTTATCGGCAGGACTTCACAGCTCAGACACAATCCTCATTCCCTTCCTGTCTGATCCAAGTTATCAGGTTTTACCGACCAGCTTAGCTGCAAACCAGAGAGCTGAGCAGCTGGGTATTACACAGACAGTTTTCTAAAAGGACAGCTTGTGGGCACGCGTTGCAAACCTGGTTGGTAGCCTAGTAGGGTTGTCACGGTAACCGGTATAGCGGTAAACCCCGGTAAAAAAGTTGACAATAAAAATAACCGTCCAGTTTTTAAAAAACTATATTATCTCGGTGGGTTTACCGTGGCCGCGGTTTCGGCGCGATGACCCTTACCAGCCACCGTCGCTTCAGCTGAAGTTCCCGCGGCGCGCACACGCACTTTTTAGTTTGCAACGGCACCAAAACTTTGAAGCTGAAATAATGGCCGAAGGAGGAGACGGCAGCGCCCAGGACATCCATCCGCCCTCAAAGAAGACTAAATCGGAAGTATGGGCATATTTGGGATTTCTGAAAAATGCTGAGGGACAGTTAATAGAAGACTGCTATCCCGTTTGCAGAACGTGCAGGAAACAAGTGTCTGCAAAAGGTAACACTTCGAATCTAATGGCACATCTGCGTGACCATCACCCACGTCCCTACAGCCAGTGCAAGGTAAGTTAACATTAGCATTTTAGCTTAAATGCATGACGTGAGGACTTTTGGTTGAGGGAGAATGCAACGAGTCACTACATACTGCAGCCACAGCGTCCTCTGCCAGCATTTAAACCGTGTCACGGACACCCTGTTGCTGGATGAAGCATCTTATTTGTTGATGATGAAGAGAAATATACAATTAGTTCCTTGTCATTGATTTGTTTACTTATTCAATGCCATTTATACTTGAACATTTGGATTTGATTACATAGTGTAGTAGTTATTTTAGTAATTTGTTTAAAGTGGCTATTTGTTTTAAATACATATTTTTTAAGGTTGACTTGTACAGTGCTCAAGTCAAGTGTGGACTGGAGTTTTAGATTTTCATTTTGATAATGAAGAAAACAAGTATATGAGAAAACAAGTGGTGTTTCTTTGATTTGTTTACATATTGTTTATGCTTTGAATGTTTGGATTTGTATCATTTAAACTTGCACTGACTACTGTAACATGTTCCAGAAAAATAAGCTATTTGTTCCTTTATTTGTGAAAAGTTGCACTTTTGCTAAGGCTTTGTGTTATTTTAGGTTTAATAAACACTGTTAAACATTTTCAAAACTATTTCAGTTTGTGTAGAACAGGACTATCAATGCTTTCTGAACATATGCAACACCGTTTAAAAAATACCGCGATAATACCGAAAACCGTGATAATTTTGGTCACAATAACCGTGAGGTTAAATTTTCATACCGTGACAACCCTATAGCCTAGCCGTTTGTGTAGAAACTTTTCTACTAAATAAAAAGCCCATTTAGTCGGTTTATCAGTAACTAAATCACACCAATAACCAAGTTCTTATACACCACTGTTTGTATCAGGGATGTGTATTTTTGAAATTCTGGCGATACGACACATATCACGATACAGGGGAGACGATACGGTATATCACAATATATTGCGATACATTCAGTCAGACGTTACAAGCAAATTTTTTTACTGAATTTATTGTAAGAATGTTCAATAAACAGTCCAAACTGATACGTAACATGTTTAACATGAGGTATCTGAACCATGATGGAGGGATTTACATTTCAATGGTGGAAACAAAACCCGTTGCACACTGCTGCCAACTAGCGGGTGGCGATTGAATTGCACAAAATGAAAAGAAAATACACAAATGTTTGCATGTAAATTATTTCAAGAATTAGATACATGGCTTTTGAAAATCGATGTAATAATCGCAGGAAAAAATATCACGATATATTGCCATATCGATATTTTCTTACATCCCTAGTTTGTATCGAAGTCTGTCATGTATGCTTACAAATCACTGATTAGAGTTCTCAATGTGATGAGTTCACAGTTTCCATTGGTGGAAAATAATGAGCACCCACTTCTAATCATTCAAACCTGGGCCACATGAGCAGGTCCACCATAAGAACATCAGCCAGATGTTACAGCCAAGAGGAAGTTTATGTGTTCTGAAGCTTTTGATGTCATTTTTGAATTGAGCCCAACTGAAAAATAAAGTTCTTGGTTTCAGAGGGCATGAGGACTAGTCTGAATCCTGCTGAGTTGTTCCCTCACGCTGTATAAAGATGACTAACCCTCCTTTGCCGAGCCCATCACCAGGTTTTTATCAAGCGCTCTTTGCGTCACCGGGATTATGTGACAGAAGTAAAAATTCCAATGACTTCTTAAAAGCAGAGAAGTAACACGATACAGCCAAAACACTAACTAGTAAAGTTGAGAAGAGGAGCAGACGGAAAAGCACATAATGTGTGAAAGATGGTCCTCAGCTCGTAGGCGACGAAACCACATCTGAACTTTGAGACCAAAAGAGCAACTTCTTGTGAAGAAAGGTCCCGTTAGATTGGTTCAGTATCAGGATGCACGACTTTATTCTACGTGCAGATAAACTGTTGCACACTGCACTATGTGTGATGTGAGCCTCTGCATGCAGTCACACACAACGCGTCACTGGCTGAACCACTGAGACTCGAGGAGATTGTGACCGTGGGGGGTGGGCGCTGTCAAACAAATGAAACATGACTGTAAACAATTTCATATTTTGTCTTGTTGCACTTTCAGAGACAACACCTGTTTGCCCTTTACTGTTAGAATCTCTTATTTACTCTGCAAAAACTGGTTTTATTAGCTCTATCTTATCCAGGTTGTGGGGGCAAAGCCCCAGCAGAGAGCTCTACACCACCCTCTGCCCAAACACCTCCACCAGTGGGACCCCGAGGTGTTCCCTGGCCAGACATCTACTTTGGTGTTTTAACCCAATTTGTTCATTTCTGACCAACACTAGTTCAAAATCAAACATTCAGTTTTCCGGGCCCTAGAAAGGGATAGTGGAAATAAACAGGCCTACTCAGCAGCGGCTGGAGACGAGCATCTACTCCCCACAACCCTGACAGGATGAAGCGGTTCAGAAACTCGATGAACTCGTAAAACCTCTTCTCTGTACAATTCGATCAGTCTGACATCAGCGTGGAGGAACCCTGACCGACCGGTCATTAGATTGTTGGTTTACCTTGTTTAGGTCTTCTAAGGTCCCACCGGTTTCAGTAGGGTTGAGGTCTGAGCTTGAACTGGAGCTTTGCAGAACCTGGACTGTTTTTGTTTTTCTGCTGATCGCTGATGGATGTTTGGAGTCATTGTTCTGTTTACTGACCCAGTTTGATCCAAACTGCAGCTGCCAGACAGATGTTTGTCTACATTTATTACCATTAATCAAATTTTTACTGGTTGTTTTTTTGTTTGTTTTATGTGTTTTTATTTGACTGTAAAATAATCAGTAAGAATTCTGAAAGCACACATTTAGGAAAGCTAAAACTTTCAGTTGAATTCTTACCACCTGGCTCTTTAATCCGATCTAGGTGGAACGTTCAAAAATTCAGTCAAGCTGCTGCAGACAACCCCCTCCTCTGCACTGAATATGAACTTGTTTTTTTTTTAAACTGCTCCTGTATTTTTGTTTACCCATGAGGTTACTCAAACATAATCCCAGGACCTTTTTTTCATAGTGTTAAATGTGAGAGAACCAAGGTGTTGACTGGAGTTATGAAGTAAAACTTCTTAATGCATTCTGCCAAAAGCTACGTTTATTTATTGGGTTTTCTTTGTTTTTGTGAAGCACCATAAAACTTGTATCTTGCAAGGCTCTATGTAAAATATTGTTTTCTTTTCTTTCTTTTCCTAAAAAACACGATGTCTGACATACGGGACATTCTTGTAAAAGATTATTTTTTTTAACGTGGACAGTCTTTACTGGTAAAGATTAAATAAATAACATCAAACTCTGAAGCAGATGAAGTCGTGAGTTGGTCTAAATCTGCATCTGCAGAAACAAAAAGCAGTTGAGCGATGACGCCAGCAGCTGTCGACAGCTACACCCACGTAGCACGACCCTCACACAATCCTGTCATTATATAAGCTGCAGCACTAAACAGGGTCTGCTTCAGGAAGCTGGTCACACGTGTTGTTAAACGTGGTTTCTGGCTGCTTCTAACCAACCACAGGCACGGTGACTTGTGAACAACTGTAATGTTAACAGTTTCCAACGGGACACGGTGAAGCTGGTGGTTGAATCCAGCACACCGACTCATTTATAGAGACTCAACAACAACTGCTCGGTTATTCTTCTTAATTCTAGGTGACACAACGTTTCCACTGACGCCTAAAGGTGTTCAAAATCAGGATCTAGTGGTCTGAGTGAGGTACAGTAATGAGTAACAAAGATGGTCAAAATACAATAAAATACTTGTTTTATTGTGAAAGGGCGATAAAATCTCCAGAGAGAACGGTTTCTTCTGTTGTGAGCCACGGCTCCTGATTACTTGTTTTCTGACTCTACTTCAGTTATAGCTGGATGATCCGGGAGGCTGCATCTGTGCGACAGTCTCTTTGTAAAATGTTTTAGTATTTTGCTATTTGAGTGTGTTCTAATTATACGCTCTAGTTTGATGTCAGCAGGCAGGTTTTGCTGACTAACCTCATTAATAAGACGTGTTTACTCTCTACACAAGTTTCCATGTTGCTCAGATCCACATTAAGCTTTTCCTCTGAGATTTCTCCAGTCAAAGCCAGACGCCCCCCCCCCCCCTTCATCAAAGTCACTATGTCTGCCACTCATGACCTGTGGACTGTACGTCAGCTGACTGCGACTCCTATCAGGGGCCGAGACGACCCGGCTCACAAAGCCTCATTCATAAAGCTGCGTCAGAACTGACCACTCTGAGACACGGCTGTAAATCCCTCCAGTTCTCCTTTTTACTGCATCACACAACCCCAAACACGAACAGAAGCACTAAACCGAGGACGGAGAAAACTTAACTCCCGTTAATGCATTTGCTTTGCTCAATTAACTCGTATTATTCATTTCACTTTTGCCATCTTTGAGATTGTTTGCGTGAATATTTATATGTTTTATTCTCCCAACAGAGAACATCTGAGTAAACTTTAAGGACACACAAATGTTTACCAACCAGAAACACTCATGCATGGCCGCTGTTTCCTTGCATTTCATTAGATTAGGAGTTCTGCAGCTGTATACATGCAGTAACTTCTTCTTAACCACAGGAGATATTTAAGCAAGATCCCTGCTAGGATGATAAAGGGCTGTAGTCGTGTACATGTTGTGAACTAAGCACATAGGATCAAATTCCTGTTGAAAATACTTCATCTTAGAAGTAGAGGAAGGACGTTGGTGACGACCCAAAGAAAATGTGTCATTAGAAGACTTAAAGAGCAAGTCACCCCCTACCAGAGTATTACTCCACTCCCACTTCCTGTTTGAAAAATGCAACTAATGCTGTTGCCTAGCAGACCGAGAGGGCAGAGGCTCTAACAAATACACACACACACACACACAGGCTCACAACGACATTGTGACATCATATTGTACCAGCTAACGTTCTAGGGTACCTCTTAGCCGATAGAGATGGCAGATTTAAATTCAACTGCAGTGCAGAGTTTTTACCTGACAACGGCACAACACTGACAATTTTAGGCAGAAAATTAAAATCAGGGTTTCCCTTACATAGGCGTAGCCGTGGCGGCCCACCACGGCTGAAATCCCACCGCCACGCCTACAAGATCCCAAGTTTTTTTTTTTTGCACCGTTTCCCGAAGAAGCAGCAGGAACTACTATGTTGTCGCTTGTGATCACAGCCGGCGGCAGCAAGGAGGAGCAGACAGGGCAAGGTGAAGTTACAGCATAAGTTACTGAGTTTAAAATTAGAAAGGTAGCAGTGGATATAATGCTTTTTGGTTTACATGTTTCAATAGCATCAAGATAAACGAGTGTTGACGATCTTGACAGGGTTTCCTCCAGTGCTTATTAGGCCAGGTTTTCCTCCCCCCACCAGGCTAAGCGTCACTTATTCATGTAAAATGTATTTATTTTTTCATGTCTGACTTTAACCGCATCTAATACTGTATTACGGCTTTAGGCCCAACAGCGACAACTTAAGATCGATGTGTGAGCAGCCTGAGAGGTCGGGTGTTTCATCTGAACCCTTAAAACCTCCAGCAGGCTACGCTGCACTATTGACGTGTTAGCGCGCGGCGCTAACAAGTTAGCAACGTGACATGTCTCGGAGAAAGCGTAAAAACACGTTGGACGCTTCTTCTTAAGCAGAGCACGACGACGCCTAGGCTCATTCACGGCCGAGCCGGTACTGGACTGGGCTCGATAACTGACCCAGCACAGCCACTGGGTCGTTGGAGCTGCCCCGTGACTGCCTGACGGAAAATACAGTGGGTTTCATCAGACTTGTAAAGTTTCTTGTTTTTGCTGGGGACCCCCTGTATTTTACCGCTCCCTCCTGCAGTCTTCCCCTATTAACATTTACAATGATTCTGTAAACTCCGTGTATCAATAGAAAAAATCTCTGCCTCTGCCAGCTGCAGTAAATGTAGTCTCCAAATAATAAATAAGAGGTGCATTCATCTGTGTATCTCCTTTGATCCGCATTAGTGATATTCTCAGCACCAGAACAGTGAAGCAAATAAACAGATGCCTGAGTTTGTTAGTAATTTTATTTATTAGGTGCATCTGACCTGTTCTATTTTTCTCTGAAATGAGATCAAATCAGTGCTTCTATGGGTTGTCTCCACTCTGCACTAGAAATTTTTACTTTATTTAGAGACGTGTCATAACCCCCCCCCCCCCCCCCCCCCCCCCGCGTTTATATAGTTTATCAGAAAAAATAAGTTGATTTGGGGGTGACTTGCTCTTTAAGTTGTTGGATCACAGGGCAATTCCACCACATTCCTGTAACGAGAAGAGCAGACTCACCCTGGTGTAGGAGAGTGTGGCGTTGTGGTGCTGCGAGTGGAACTGCAGAGTGATGATGATAACCTCCGAAGGGATCCTAGACACCACGGCCTGGACCGACTCATTCTGAGAGATGTTCACATTCTGGAAGGCTCCCGGAGAGAAGGTCACTTGGTCTGAGAAAAACATAGAAACATGATTCTATGCTTTGATCCAGATTTAACCGGACACACACACACACCTCAGGTTAACAGAATATTAACCCAGAAGTCTTGGGGATCAAGATGCTTTTATTAAATGTCTTCTTTACTGTTAAATCATGACCTCTGACCGTAACCATACCAAACGATGCCAAAAAGGCTTTAGGTCTTGTTCTGTGTTCTTGAATTTCTTTAGAGTGAGGCACGCCGTGTTGCTTTATTACTGTCTGAAGGTTCTATTAAAACAGGTCAAAAAGTTATCTATTTAAAATAGCATTTTGTGCTTACTCTGCTTGTCTGTGTCTGAAGTTGAAGTTTGTTTGCTGATCTGAAAACATTTAAGAGACAAAAACAAATACCAGACAGTCACAGTAAATCAGAGGTGTAGCGTGATGCATTCATCATCGTTTTGCATTCACAACCCTACGGATTGAATCAAACGAAAAGGAGCTAGTCCCTACTTTCAGGATGTTAAAAACTGTTTCAATTAGCTACGTAATCCGATTAATCCGTTTTAAAATTCTCACAGAAAAATCCCCTGAAATTCTCCAAAGCTCTATGATCTCCAAAGGTCGCATTGATATGGAAAATTATCTCCGACTCTTTGATATGCCGTAATAAATCAAGCATATCTTTAGATCACCTGCTTCCATTCCTGCCAAGTTTTTTCCTTTTAGGCTTCTGTGTTTGTTCATAAATCAATAATAACCAGTTACCTCTGGAGGTTCGAGCTTTTCTTTGTGGGACAAACCAGTAACTTTAAAAGGAGAACTATAACTCCATGGTTAAGGGAGAGCAAATGTCTCACGGTTGTTGCAACTTCTCATGCAACATCTTCCTCCTCTAGTCTAGATAAGAAAATGATCTGATTTAAATTATTTTACTCTTCACTAGCTTGATGTTATGTGTGTAGACGTAAGTGAACATGTGCTAATGTTAAAGGCGTGACAGGAGAATGTTTCATTAAAACATGATGATCAAGATTATCAGATGCTGGTGTTGTTGTTTGTCTGAGGGTCAGACTCCAGTCCCAGCTTAACCTATGTACAAATGTGGTTTAATTCTTGTATTTATTGTGTTTAGTGGAGGGTTTATGTTAAGTGCAGAGCTTATTTTATTTTTGTGTTAAACACAAACACATTTAAAGAGATTATTTACATTAAAACTTCTAAATAATGTACACAAATGCTCCCTTAGCAAGTAAACTGCTGGAGAACACAAACCAAGCTCTGACTCACCTTTCCCACAAAATTGGTCAAAATTATTATTATTATTATTTTGTAGTTTTACAGCTTCAGAAAGCTCAACGCAAACAACAGAAAGTTAAAAATGACGTTCACTAGCCAGCTCTGCTCAGATACTCACTTTCTACTTGAGCTTGAACAAACGTCGAAAAGACAAACAGCAGCGGAGGCCAAAAAATGCAGCGAGACATGATTTTACTCGTCTCCAAAAATTCGACAAGCCTGTTCAAAACCCCAATCCTTAAAAATCACTGAAAACCTCTCAGTCGCCTGTGTTTTAGTCCTATTACCCACAAAGGCGACATACTGGACTGCAGAGCAACTTCGCTTCTCTCCTCGCTCAGCTCTGAACAACGGCGCTTCCGTGGAATTCTCGCTCTTCTTCTCGCGATATTTTAAGCCCAAAGTAGATTAATCCAGAGCCCTTTTTGAGAGATCTCGCATTTTAAATAAAGTGATATTTTACACAATTACATAAAAATAACACTAATTGTAAACGACGGGTTAAAAGTGAGAAAATAGTGTGTTTAATAATCTAATTGATTACTGAAGTAACATTAATAAATAAAGCAAAACAAAGACAAAATAATCTGTTCATTTGAAAAAAAATATTCAAATATGTCCCGTAAAATAACATTCATCCTCTGGAGGCAGGCGTTGCAGATTTGAAACAGGTAAAACCTACCTACGTGGTTACTCCACATACGTATTTCATGAGCATTTTTTTAACTCAGAAGTAGTATCCCTGAAGGACTTAGTTGTTCGTCCTTTTATCAAAACTTATTTTGAGCCTGAGAGTTAAATTACTCAAACCAACACAGAATGTCAGTGATGACTAGATAAATAATGAAGTCCTGCAAAAATGTAAAGAAAAAAATGAAACCCGAGGTTACCATCCCAGCAGAAATGTTTTTACAAACGATTCAATATGAAGTCGTAAATATATATTGAAAAGACACAACAAAGGGATCATGGAGTCACTGTCACTCTGTGGATTTAATAGAAAACTGAAACATTATTAAAATATGAACGAAGCTAATTTAATGAATTATTTGTGGCTCATGTTTAAAAGGACGATTCATGTTGCAAGAAATGAGCAGGAAAAAGGAAATCAATCAATAAACATTCAATCTACTGCAAAAACCTCTTTGGTGTGTTCTTGCTGTGTTGAAATTCTAATTCCATCTTTTAGTTCTTTTTAAAACACAGAAATTTACCTGCAACGTTTCGTTTGCGGCTGCAAAGTTGCAGGTAAATAAAACCTTTCTGTGTTTTAAAAAGAACTAAATGATGGAATACCGTACAATTATTACATTTTTAGTGTTGACGCTTACATATCTATCTTTTTCTAGTGCTTTCGTTAGGGTAATTAAGTTTGAGAACTTTAGGGATTAACTTAGTAAATTTCTCTTAAAGGGCTACAAGCCACTTTTGCCCTTCATTCTTATATTAATCCTTTAATTAGTGCAGGTGATTTCTCCCATATCAGTTAGGGTTTGATTTTTTCTTTCATGCATTTATGCACCACATTTCTGGCATTACACATAGGTAGTGCACCCACTTCTTCATTTAAAGGTTAATCCATATAATGCTGACACATAGAGGTACTCACAGTGACAGGTTTATAATTATTTCTTTGATTTGCATCAACCACAATCTTCGTGTGTCTGCTTCACATGCTGCTCTGCTCTTCTCACTCATGAGCTACACCATTGGTCTTCGCTGGCTGAGGGTCCTCTACGTCTGTTGCTGCCCGCCTGATGTCATCCTATCGCATGGAGCTTTGCTTCGGTCGTGGTTCGAGACGTCCTGAGTGCCCTGCGCTGAGCGGTCGCCTGGAGGCCATCCGGGGACCTGCTGCTGACGGCTGGTCGTCTGTCTACATCCTGCTCGACTCTGTGTGGGAACACAGGCTACTTTATCCTTTTGCATACACCTTTGGCATCACTACTTATTGATAATCAACTGCTATTGAGATAGCAACCTTCTCGAGGATTACTTTACAATGATCTACAATTGTTTATTTAACCAACTTCTCAGGATATGCTCCTGTCTTCACTGGCGTGAGGAAAGTCTTCACTGGCGTGAGGAAACGCTTACCTCACTCCAGCCTTCATCTGGACTGCAACAGCTTCTTCAGGAAGAAAGCCCCTTCACGTCTTTGGTGCTCAACGACAGGTGGTTTTCTGCGACCACCTACCATTGACCAAGGGGGGTCTTGTAGCGTCATGAAGGGCCTCTAATTTGTGACAAAGGTCACATTTTCCCAGCTGGGTCAGACTGTGACTTTTAGTTCCACAGATTAACCCAGGAGCCCTGATGTCTGAAGAATATCATCCTTTATCTGCTGCTGTTCCATCCCAGAAGGACACTTCAAGTTTCACGATAATAATTTAAATAATAATTTTAATAAACTCTTTGACTTTATTGAGGTTTATTATAATCATCATAAATAATCTCTTGGTTCAGTATAAATGTATTTTTAATTACTGAAATGAATTATTATGCTTTGGGTATAATTGTGATTATGGTTGATAATCGGTTATGGTGTTCAGTAACCAGAAGGTCAACTTCCACCTTATCCATCTAACACAGAGTTTATCCAGAGTAAAGGGTAACTGCCATCATGTGTCTTGACTTATGACCAAAGCTTTCTTGCTCTGAGAGGGCGTGTTCTGAGGAGTTTGTTAAACTAACTTTCCAGCAGAGAAACTTCAGTTCGTGAACCCACCACCATCACTGAGGATATGGGAACGGCCGTCCCTAACCTCCACCTGCTCTTCTGTCACGCCGATAAGAATAGCTACGAATAAACGTAAACTGTAACCAGTTGACGCAAAAACTCCTCCAGAGTTATTGATTTTGAGAGTTAAGACGAGAAACTCCTTCAGAGTTAAGCCAGACGCTCGACACTGTGTACCCGGCGACATCTTCGGACCAGAGAGTCGGTTCCTCGAGTCCCCTCTACCGGACTGAGTACCTGGAGGCTGACACCATCCTCCCTTGACCTCCGGATCCTCACGAAGGGTCGTCTTGCTGGGTGAGGTAGCACACAGATTGTGTCTGTTTTCTGTTTTCTCTAAGTAACAACAGTTAGCTGCAAAACCATCATTTCAACCCAGAACACGCTTCTCTCTCTGAAAGAAACCTTCTGAGAATTCATCCAGGCATCCAAACTCGTATTTTCAATTTAGCTTTCATTCAGTCACAGGTTTGCCTTTTAAACCAAAGTATTTACTGTTGCAAATTGTAATGTTCAAGTACACAGCACATGCATGGATAAAAGCTGAATTATGGGTAGATCTCTGGAACTTGTGTGCGTGTGTGTATGTGTTTGAGTGTGTGCGTACGTGCATGTGACTTCATTAATTGATTAATTTTATTTGAATAGATAATGAATTTGGTCAAATAATATAATACAAGTATGTGTCATAAAGAACATTCAATATGCAGAGTGGAACATACAGTATAAAACACTTGTTTCCATTGTGGCCCTAAAACACAATTATACAGTTATGATACATAATATGTGCCTAATTATGGCAACTTTAAAGTTGAGAGGAAGAACGCTAAAAGGGTTAATAGGCCAAGAATGGACACCATTTTCAGATTTTTCTTGAAAACCATCTTCCCTCGACAGGCTCTGATTTCCCATTTGGTTCATTGAAAAGTTTGGCTGTAGTCACTGTAAATGTAGTCGCACCGAAGGAACGGACACGAGGGATGGTCAAGGATCTGTTACAGCACCTTGTGTTATGATCTGACTGATTAAAGTTGAAGGCATTAAACATATATGGGGACATTTTGTTATTGGCAGCATAACGTGGTTCAGTTTAAGCTGTCCACTGGCAACATGTTGACTATAAACTTATAAAAGTACAAGTAATTTTTCAAACAAGTTGAACACATGCTATAACTCATTGTACTCATTGCTGCAACTCAGGGTTCCCAAATGTTTTCTATGAGGACCCCCAAACCCAACTCCTACATGCATAAACTGTCATGTTGCGGGTGGAGTGGAGATGATGGACCATGTGTGGTGGAGAGTTCAGGAGGCAGGAGAGCAGGCACGGATGAAAAATAAAAATGGTTTTAATGGTAGAATGGGAACGACAGGAACAAAACAACGATGACTAATAACAATGATCTGACAAAGACTGGCACAAGGAGGGAGGTATAAATCAGGAACACATGGGCAGGTTAACGAGGGGCAGATGAGAACAATAAGGGCTAATCAGGGCAGGAGAGAGACACAGTCAGGAAGGCAGTGGCAGAACGTGACAGTACCCCCCCCCCCCCCCCCCCTCAAGGGGCGGATACCAGACGCCCACAAGGCCACACAACACAGGAGACTCGGGAACACTTGACTGGACTGGACAGGAACACTTGACTGGACAGGAACACTTAAACTGCAGCAGCCGGGCGTGGGACCCAGCAGAGAACTGCAGCAGCCAGGCGTGGGACCCAGCAGGGCTGGACTGGGACAAAAATTCAGCCCGGGCATTTTGATTGGAGACCGGCCCATCACCTGGTTTTTTTGGAAAAGACATTAAGCCTTACGCTGTTTCTGACACACACCAACGTACACTTTCTTATTGGTAATATTTATGTATCAATCTAATAAACGTAAACCTACACCATCCTTCCTATCCTGGTATTCTAAAAAAGTAGGGTTGGGGGTAAATGATTATTTTTAAAATGATTATTCTGACGATTATTTTATCGAATAGTCAACTATTCTGATGACTATTTAGATGATTAATCTAGCGATTATTTTTCTATTGCACAATTAATAAAAACCAAAAAATCTTAAATTCCTCCAAAAAATTGATAAGTTGTTACTGTAAGAGAATAAACACTACAGGCCTTCCATTTTGTATAACACTGCTTTTATTGTGTTGCGGTTGGTTATGTTCTGGTGACGTGTAGAACTTGGGAGTGCAGGCTGCTGCCTGAGAGGTGGTTGGAGACGGAGTGTCTCCATGCTGCTTTGTTTTGGTCACTTATGTGCATGAGGCAAGTGGTGTTACGACCCTTCCTGGGGAGTCAAGTGTAAAGGGTTAAATTTACCTAAATATTGCCTTATTTATTATCTCTTGATGTTATTAGTCCCTATTTCTGTGGTTAATTGACAATAGTTTCCTGAAATGTTTCTCCTATTTTAACTGTAAATCCTTCTAGCTGTTATATTTATAACAAGAAACAGATATTCGGACGGAATATTTTCATGTTTATTCGAATATGATTGTGGAACACACCCAGCATCATAATAAATGAAGTAATATTTATGCCAATTTAAGCCTTTATGGGTGACCAGGACACTGATCAATTTTTGGCAAGGGAAATGATCATTTGTTGCCATTTTTGAGGTGTTTATGAATGTGGAAGACACCCAGCATCCTGTGATGGCACTAATAACATCAAGAGATAATAAATAAGGTAATATTTAGGTAAATTTAACCCTTTACAGGTGACCAGGACTCTGTGATCAATTTTTGGCAAGGGAAATGATCATTTGTTGCCATTTTTGAGGTGTTTATGAATGTGGAAGACACCCAGCATCCTGTGATGGCACTAATAACATCAAGAGATAATAAAGTAATATTTAGGTAAATTTAACCCTTTACAGGTGACCAGGACACTGTAATGAATTTTTGGCAAGGGAAATGATCATTTGTTGCCATTTTTGAGGTGTTTATGAATGTGGAAGACACCCAGCATCCTGTGATGGCACTAATAACATCAAGAGATAATAAATAAGGTAATATTTAGGTAAATTTAACCCTTTACAGGTGACCAGGACTCTGTGATCAATTTTTGGCAAGGGAAATGATCATTTGTTGCCATTTTTGAGGTGTTTATGAATGTGGAAGACACCCAGCATCCTGTGATGGCACTAATAACATCAAGAGATGACAAAGTAATATTTAGGTAAATTTAACCCTTTACAGGTGACCAGGACACTGTAATGAATTTTTGGCAAGGGAAATGATCATTTGTTGCCATTTTTGAGGTGTTTATGAAGAGACCCAGCAACCTGTGATGGCACTAATAACATCAAGAGATAATAAATAAGGTAATATTTAGGTAAATGTAACCCTTTACAGGTGACCAGGACACTGTAATCAATTTTTGGCAAGGGAAATTATTATTTTTTTTTTTTTTTGCCATTTTTGGGGTGTTTATGATGATACAGTAGGCAGTATGAGTACAGTAACATCAACAGATAATACATAAAACCCTTATTTGGTCAATTTTAACCTCCATGAAAATCTGAGCGATTCAATCACTTTTTGGCAAGTAAAATGCCATTTTAGTTGTCTACAATTAAATCATCAATAAAGAATTTAAAGATATTTTGAGGCGTTTCTTATAGGTAAACGGGAGGGTGTAGTCTATTTGGCAAGTGACCAATCTTAATTGTATGTGCTGAAGAGCTTTTATCTTGTTACTTTTAAATAGAGCAACGTAATGTTTAGCAACTTACACAGTGTCATTGTAAAGCCAAAGCTTGATCAGTTTAAATACTATTTTTCCAAGTAAAAATGTGCCCCAAACTAGTTAACTGTGACTCCATGTCAAGTGGACTAAAGAAAGGAAGGGGAAAAAATTAAATCGCTGGAGAATTGTTTATTTACATTTATACAACGTTTACATTCAATACAGGGTGCCATTTTACGTTATTTATTTTTTTAGTATCAAGGCTGTAACATAAAGAAAGCCAGTTCTTACCACAAACCATCTTTCAATCGCAAATATTGCAAAAAGGATTAATATATCCTCATTGTGAACGTTTAAGACAATTAGCAACACTTAAAACAACTTCCGAACTGGAAAAACTAATGTGGCAAGGTGGATAAACGACGGCCCGGGTTGTATTCGATCCCTAGACTTTCGGGGTGAGAATCATACGCTCTAACCAGTCAGCCAAAGGAACATCCCCTTGACCAACTATACAGGGTACAAGATCAATCAAGACATTGTGACAGGATGCTCACTGCCACATCTTCCTCCCTCTTTCCACAAGCACGTCCTCGTGCTCCCGCGCAGGGTGCCACAAACACTGCCACACTAATATCCGCGATAAACATCTGTTTAAGTACCGGAAGAGGTTATCTTTGCTTTCTGAATGTCCATATTGCTAGATATGCTGAGTTTTAGGGCGAAATCCTGGGGAATTTTGTCTAGAAATGCAATTACCTAACCGTGCGCGATCCCGCGGTGGCTAATCATTTTTTGGCAGCGAGTCAATTTATGGCACAACACCGGCTCGGGTTTCTCCTCCTCCTCCCTCTTTTCTTCTCCAACCTGTCGCTGGGCTGAGGCTCCATCACTTCCTAAATTGATTTTACTTGAACCTTCACTACCAAACAACTGTGAGATTTTAACACATGTGCCAGCATCAGCCAGCCTGAAGGGCCAGTTTCTTTTTTAGTCGAATTTTCTCCGCTCCTCCTTTCCGTTTTTTGTTCTCCATTTTGTAAAGCTCGTCTGTCTGTTTACTGAGATTCACAAACAACTGGCGGGTGCATCAGACCTCTGGCTATTGGTCCAGCCCAGAGTGTATTATTACCAATTGGCCAATCCACCAACTTTTACGAGGCGTCGCGTGGGGCGGCGCGGACAAGTTGTCTGCAACAACTAGAGGCCAGGAAAAAAAAAAAAAAAAAAACAGACACCGGCCCATAAAAGATGAAAGGGTCGGCCCAGCGGGCAGTTGCCCGCTATGCCCTATGGTCAGTCCAGCAGTGGGACCCAGCAGAGAACTGCAGCAGCCGGGCGTGGAACCCAGCAGAGAACTGCCACAGCCGGGCGTGGGACCCAGCAGAGAACTGCCGCAGCCGGGCGTGGGACCCAGCAGAGAACTGCCGCAGCCGGGCGTGGGACCCAGCAGAGAACTGCCGCAGCCGGGCGTGGAACCCAGCAGAGAACTGCCGCAGCCGGGCGTGGGACCCAGCAGAGAACTGCCGCAGCCGGGCGTGGGACCCAGCAGAGAACTGCCGCAGCCGGGCGTGGGACCCAGCAGAGAACTGCAGCAGCCGGGCGTGGGACCCAGCAGAGAACTGCCGCAGCCGGGCGTGGGACCCAGCAGAGAACTGCAGCAGCAGGCGTGGGACCCAGCAGAGAACTGCAGCAGCAGGCGTGTGACCCAACAGAGAGTGCAGCATGAAGGACCTGCAGGCATAGACCCTGCAGGCGTGGACCAGGAAGTGGGACAAACAGCAGGAGTGACGAGAGGAAACCAGGAGCGGTAGCAGGTATTCGGCAATAGTCCTGAGCAGGTGCACACCATGACTCTACTGGATCCAACAGGCGGAGGCTCGGGTAAAGGGAAGCAGACACGGAGCAGGAAGACCAGCCCTACCACCCTGGAGAATGTTGGCGTGCGTAGGGGGTTTCACCTCCATCAAAACTCCAGGAAAAGCAGCTTCCGTGAAAAACAGGACGGGGCAGAACAGCAGGAGAGGAGAATGGGTTTGACCACCCCGGGAACAAATAGGATGCGCCAAAACCCCCTCGAGTCAGAATCTCCCTCAGCTGAAAGGGAAAAAAAGAAAAAAATAATCCTCCAGAAACTGATGTCCGGGCTCACCACAGGTCCAGGTTGGTCAGATCATTCTGTCATGTTGCGGGTGGAGTGGAGATGATGGACCATGTGTGGTGGAGAGTTCAGGAGGCAGGAATGCAGGCACGGATGAAAATTAAAAATGGTTTTAATGGAAGAATGGGAACGACAGGAACAAAACAACGATGACTAACAACAACAATGATCTGACAAAGACTGGCACAAGGAGGGAGGTATAAATATACAGGGAAATCAGGAACACATGGACAGGTTAACGAGGGGCAGGTGAGAACAATAAGGGCTAATCAGGGCAGGAGAGAGACACAGTCAGGAAGGCAGGGGCAGAACGTGACATAAACACAATAGATGTGATCATTTACTAACTTTACAGAGTTATAACTTTTATATGGAGTTCTGATTATACTGTAGAGTTATTAGGATTTTATAATTGTAATTTTTACCAATAAAATCTTGCTAACCTCACAACCTCAGCAAAGACAAAATTGTGGGGAGCCCTGCTGTAACTGGCTGACTATAGCATAATTTTCAGTCATTACACATGGACCTAAACTGTTAGAATAAAAAGTGAGAAAACATATTTAAATTGAGATAAAAACAGGGAAAAACACTTTGCAAAGATATAAAAGACAAGTGCCCTGGCCGGGATCCAAACCTGCGTGAGTAGAGCCCGACCATAACTTGGTTTTCATTCTGGCTAACATGGGTCAGGTTCAAATACACTAAATACAAAATTATTTTAAGTGTAATAATAATGGGATGCAAGTGTTTCAATTCTTCACTAAATTTAAAAAAATTTTTTTTTAGAATTTTTTGTTTGCTGTTTTAATCAGCGCTCCAGATTAAAATATGCTGAATAAACCAGCAGAAACGGCGTTTTTATGGTAGATGTGAAGAGTGGAATGAGGGTTTCTTAACACCACAGGAAGTGTCTTCAAACGGATGTTTCCAGATCAAAAGAAAGCAGCAACAGTTCTGCTTTTTAGACGCTAGATAGGCAGAGATATACCAAATTTAAGCTGATGTTTATCCCACCCAGTTAATATAAAATGAGGAACTGGAAAACCATAATTTGAATGCTTAGTCACTATTTAAGTAAATAGTCGTCGAAAAAAAATCTAATTCAGCAACAAAATATATTCAATAACCTGACATACACTCATTGTTTGATTCTATTTTCCAATATGTCTTGTTTCCGTATAAAACAATTTAAGTGACACTTTTGTGACTATAAATATGCTTGTAGTGTGGTCAGTTTTATACAATTTCAAAATCCTGAAAGCTTCTACTAGATACAGACACGTGTGTTGAATTCAGTTACATTTCTCTTATTTCTGAGGCTGTTGACATTATGCAACCATAAATGAGCAGTGAAAGTGAGAAGTTGCGTGGATAAACAGCCCACAAAACAGAACCTGAAATATGTGTGATGACCTGAAAGTGAAACTAAATCGGTATGAATGAACTCACACTGTTCACAGATTGCAGATTTATTGTAACTTGAACAGTTCTCCCACTCATT